AGGTCTGGGTTTGAAGAGTTCTCGGACGTTGGAGGCTGATTAATCGAGCTGCAAATGAAACCGGAATAAAACATCTTGAGTTACATTTTGGGAACTTTGGCATTATGGCTAAGTGTTATAAATTAGAAAATCAAGGTTTCTTTGCAAATTCAGCAATTCGTTAGCATCTAGTTGCCTGGAAGATAGATTGCACTCTTATCAATTACGCTGGCGTGATTTCTTTCCCCTGTGTAAGCAAATCTGGGACGTAATTAACACAAATTTCCTTCTGACGTTTGGTGAACTTGTTGATCAGGCAAAAGCTAATTCCTGTGTTTATGTGTGTTTGTATGAGCCTGTGTGTGTGTGCGCGCGCGTGTGTGTGTGCGCGCGTGCTTCTAAGCAACAAAATGACTATTGTGAGCACAGCTCCAGGTGCCTAGCAACCAAAATCGCTCTGTTTCCTTGGCAACAGTTGCCTTAGACTCACTGTGTGGGTGATTGGCAGCCTTGACAACGGAGACAGAGTGACACTTGACCTCGTGTGCTGAATGGGAGAGGCGAAAAGAAGGAGCGAGAAATAGAAGAGAGGGGGAGGGAGTGGGGGGTGGGTGGTGACGGGCGGAGACAGAGGAGACACTAAGTGATAATCATTCTCCATTGTAATCATCCTCCAGCGTGTTTCATAAGGCGCTGTCAATACCTCTCCAGCTGCGGTCCATCATCAAACACAATGCACGGAGCAGAGCGGCGCATGCACCGACACACTCCTCCTGGGTGGAGAGCCCAGGCAGGCACTCAGCATCTCATCTATTATCTCTCAGCCCCGTCTGCAGCACAATCTAGCTGCTCTGTGTCTTCTTTCATTTGGCCTGCTGCACCCTGTGTGCTCTGTGGGGATGAATGAATGGATGCTGGACTCTTAAAAATGTGCCTGAGCCGTGGATGCCACAAGGCAGTAGACACGTGCACTGGAAGACTGCATTTGAATGTAATAGCTGTGGTTTATTTAGATAAAATGTGCATGTTGGGCCACTCTGCCTGACAAAAAGCTGGATGGTGGCGTTCCTGTGGTGCAGGAATGGAAAATGTGTTTTTTGAATACACGATGATGTGTGTGGCGGTGATGAACAAAAGTCAGAAGATTAAAAAGCCGGAGTTGGAAGGACGCCTCAGCCTCGAAAATTAAAAAAGAAATGTGAAATTAAAAGTTTCACATTGAGCTTCAACTTAATTATAGATCTCAATTCTAAATTAACAGGCTGCAAACATCTTTATGCGTTTTCTGGATTTCATTAAACTCCACTAAGCATCAAAAACCTTGAAAACCTTCATGGAAAGGGAGGAATTAAAGCAAACACAACAAGATGCTGCATGTCTGACTTTTGAAAAGTCACCAGCTATTTGCTTGGTAAAACTGGAAAACGTGTCTCTAATGTAATGAATTTGAAATCAAAACACCTTTTAGACCAACAATGGTCTGGTTCTCTGTAAACATGTTCTTTACAGGTGTAGAACCCAGAAAAACCATCTTTCTAATGTTATGTCTGATTATAACCAGTCACTCTGAGTTTTTCATGCAGGCTGAACATGAAGATAGTCTCCTGCACCTATCTCCTGCATTAGCTTCTGATAGGAAACAGACAATGAGACTCTAGGATTAGAAAAGCCTGACAGATCTACGTCACACTGTCACTCAACGTTCATGGACTCACTTATCTTAACTCATGACGGGGAAGGCTTTTGGTTTAGCGTCCAGAAAACAGACTAGCAGAAGTTAACCGTTAGCATTAGCAACTCCACCACACAGCAGAACTCCTTCAGGCTTGTGTTATTTGTGGAGATAAAACATCGACGTTGCAGAGAAAACAGAGTCAGTGGTAGAGTCGCGTTGCTGTTAGCCAATAGGTGAGATGTCCAAATATCAGGAAATAAGGCCTAATCCCAGTGGGCACACTTCCAACGTCACGCCCTTCAATTGCGCGATCCCGTACAGCGGTGCGAGTGCGTAGGGTCCCGATTGTAAAGTGCAGAAGTTGACCACCCCTTTTGCAACCTTGAGCTGCACCTCACCAAAGTCAGCAATGGCTCAAGTGGCTTTTCTGAAAAAGTGTATTTTCAAATGACAGACGTTCATTTAAGGACAGTTAATGACATTTATCCATGCTCTGAACGTTTTAGACTAAGATTTAATGTGAACAGCAAAGAATGTAAATCAGTGACCGAGTTGATGATGCAACGCTCCCTGTACTAATTGGGCCCACAGAGTATACGCACTCGAAGTCTTGCTGCGCACCTCCTCCAAGTGCACTTGGCTGAAGGCCGGAGGGTGCAGTGTGAGTATTGGAACAGCGCCCAAAACCTCAAAACCAGATGTCTGAAGCCTAGCTGTGATGCGGCAACCTTCTAGTTTCCGAAAATAGTGCACCTGTGTTTTTTTTCCCCAGAGTTTGACTTACAAGGCATTCATTCCTACTAGAGACCACTGCAAAGGTATTCATTGAACAAGTGTCCCACACCTTTAACCAAAAGGTTTACAGTGATCCCTCATTTATTGCGGTAGATGCGTTCCAGACCTGGCCGCGATAGGTGAAAATCCGCGAAGCAGGGACACCATATTTACAGTACAGTACTATATTGAATTATCGTATGATCACATTCTCTTTTTGTGGGTAAAACTCAAGAAAAAAATTTTTGACTTGGTTTTTTAATAGTTTTATTACAAAAAGTGCATTTTATGATGAAACTGATGAAAAAACAGGAATTTCTTGATATTTCGCATAGAAAAATACAGCGAATCGGTGAAAAATACTGCGAATCGGCGAATTTTCCTTGAATAAGGCTCCAAAGAAAAAATCTGCGAAGTCGTGAATCCGCAATAAACGAACCGCGAAGTAGCGAGGGATCACTGTACGTGCAAACGACACAGGCGTTTATGTTGTTTATCACTCTGTTCAGGAAAACCTCAGCTGTTCAAAATGTAACTTTATTAAATCTATTTTTATTGTAATTTTATATATTTAACCACAATTAAAAAATAAAGAATGCCGGGACTAGACAACCCGACACTTTTATAACTGTTCCTGTGCTTTACCAGAGGCAATGCAGCTTTATTTGTGTAGAACATTTCTCACACAGAGGCAATTCAATGTGCTCACCTGTTCTATGAAGATGAGAAACAGTTTTTCGATTCACTTGAATGTCCTGATGATAAAGTGAAAAGACATTAAAATAATTTTTAACAAATATGAGTTCTCTTTAAGGGATTTTTCTACCATTTACAGGTGTTCTGTGTGAACGTTCTATTGACTAACCGTTTGTGTAGACTCTCAATCGTCCAGGGCATGTTGATCTTGGAGGCATCTGGACTTCTCTCATTTTCCTTGAAAGCATTTCGCCTTTGATCCAAAAGCTGTAATGAAGAAGCTTCTTAGTCACGAGGCGAAATGTCTTCAAGGAAAACAAGAAAGTCCAGTTGTTCCCAACTAAAACTCTTACTTGTTGTGGCACACTTATATGTCTTTAAAGCTACAACACCAAAACTATCTTATAACACGTTTTCGTGGCTCTTAACAACATTCTTAAATAGTATAGCTACACATATATTGCGGAGATTTAAAAAAACTAAGAAAATTAATAAAGTGGTTCTCTTGGATTAGTCTAAGGCCCTATCCACACGTAGCCGGGGATCTGCCAAAACGTAGATATTTTTCTACGTTTTGGCCTGTCATCCTGAGTTTTTCACACGAAAACGGATCTTTTTAAAAACTCCGGCCAAAGTGAAGATCTACATTTTCTCCGTTTTGGGTGTCTGCGTGTGGACAGACAAAACCGGAGTTTTAAGGTCCGCAACGTCACTTTCCGCGACAAAAAAATGCTGACATCACGTGTGCGACCTGTGTTTACACTAGCCGACAGCATGGATGCCCTCAGAGCTGCACTCGCTTTATCAATTGTCCAAGCGCTTTCTGCTTGTTTGTTTTTGCAAACGGAATTACTGCTCCTTGCGGAAGACCACAGACGAAGGACGAGGTTAAGAACGGGGGAAGTACTGCCGCCTACAGGTCTGGCATGTCCTTACCAACGTATTTATCCGGGTACGTGTGGACAGTTTTTTTAAACGAGGTGGTGTGGATGCAAGTTTTTGGAGGGGCGGATATTCGTTTAAAAAAAAACCAGCTACGTGTGGACTAGGCCTCAAAACCTCCACCAATAGCATGGTTCGGACCGAAACCAAGAACTGGACCATCCAGTTGTCCGTCTCAAAAGACCACCACAGTTCTGCATTTACCTGGGTCCTCCATTCATTACACATTTATCAAAAGAACACCAGTGGTGTGAGAGTGTCGCAGCTCAATAGCATCAGAGGAGAAACAGCCGACTTCTACCACTTCAATTTTAAGACAAACCACCAGTCCCAAAAAGAAAAACACCATCTGAACTTGTGGAGAAAAGACAGTTTGACCTGCAGCTGGTGTTTGGCGCTCTCGTTTCCTCTGGATACGCAGGCTTTGGTATCAGACGTGGCCTAGGGATGATCGCTGATGGGAGTTTTGTGACCGTGTTTATGTTTAATAGCTTTGCTATAGTAGCTTTGAGGTGGGATAAGCTAACCGCTGAACATAGCCAAGATCAAAGTGGATCTCTGCTGCCCAACAGCTCACATCACAACTAAATTCTCAGCTGTTCCTCCTGTTATTGTACATCCTTCTATAAAAGTTGTACTATTTAGCTTAAATACTATTTGCAGTAGTAAAAATACCCGTGGCAGCAACACAGCATAATCTCAACATTTCTGTGTTGTGTTCAGACTAGCTGTTAGCACATCAATCCTGTGGAACGTAAACCTTTAATCCCCAAGCTATAGGACCATATCAGCAATACTAAAAATAGTAAATATTGATAATTATCACTATTTGATGGCATTATTTAAATGCTGACCCATACCAGAGTTTCTGTTTGGTTACTAAAATAAAAAAAATGTCTTATATATATATAAATAATTAAACAAAACACTTCAGTGAATTTTATTCTTTATTTCCTTACTTTTACAGTTTAAGAGAATTTAAACTCTGGTTGATGTCTTACAAATGATTACAGAGCAAAAACAGTACACAGAGCCAGGTTCATAGGCATAATTCAAGAAATAAAATACTTTTTCTTCTGCGCAGACGCTTTATTCCTCTTGAAGTGTTTTGATTTAGCGTGAAGAAAAGACCGAAGCTGGTAAAAACCTCCAGCTGAGATGAAATTTAAAGGATTTGTTTTTGAAGTGGGATGAACTAAAACTGTGGCACGACTCCTTATGAAGAGGTAGAGATGTTAGTACCACCAGCATGCTTGACTGAAAATGGATAATACAGGTTATTTTTTAACAAACATAAAACACTTGAATTAATGGCAATATGTATAAAAGCAGCTTAATCTAACAGAACCATGTGACAGCAACCAGCGACTTCCTCCTGCTGATTCTCTGCAGACGGTAAGAAGATCCTGCTGCTGCGTTCACATCTGTAGGACCTCATTGTTCAAGTTTCTGGAATGATCAACTTCTGCCTGTTTATGGGTCTTTTTCCTGTTGCTCGTGAGTTTTGCACAGTTTGCATTTCACAATAAAATACCAAAATTTTCCTCTTTCCTTACTTTACAGATCTGTCATATAAAGCTGTGGTTATTATGCTTAAAATAACCCAAATAATCTATAAATTAGGACTTTTTTGTATTTTAAAACTATTTTTTTGAAATTCTGCATTAATTGCAGACTCATCCAATAATGTAGAAAAAAAAACAGAAAGCCCGTCTGATTGTGAGACAAAACAAAAACTATCCTGACAAGGAAAAATGTAGTTAAAGCTACAGCTGTGGGCCTAATTGTTTCAACAGAAGAGGAAAACTTTGGATTTCACAAATTACTCTGAGCACAGTTTTGCTGAAGACCCCATAAAGTAAAATTTTGATCACAGAGCTATTAAACCTCTGAATGACATAACTGAAATAGTCTGTGGCGTTGAGTGGACACACCCCACCGGCCACACACTCTTCTTCTCGGCTTTCCTGAGATGCATTTAACTCTACGAGGGCTACTGATTGGCTGCTTCACACGCATCTATCCAGTCACTGTACACATCAACTGGTTCAGACAGATCTAAAGAGTAACAGATTAAGGAAAAACCAAAGAAATCTAATTCTATGAAATAAAGTTAAAAGCAAATACAGAATAACCAGCAGTTTCCATCAGATAAAATACAATTCTGAATCTGTGTCATGAATTAATCAGGAGATGGAACTGTGGATAACATTTTCTTTATTTTTACCTCGTCCTCTGTACACTGCTACTTGTGAGGGTGACCCTGTGCTCCTGCTCTCTGTTGATAGTTGTAACTATCAACAGCCATAAACATGTTGATCTTTAGCTTCTGAAGTCTAAAACAGTAAATCAATATTTTTACTTGACTACACTAGAAATTAACCACAATTAGGTCTAATTTTATATATCTAGTTAATATGAGAGATTGCTCATTTAATAATTTGGTTAGATGAACTCTGACAGCCCATTAATAGACTTCACCTACGGATGGGAGAAAGGATACAGGTGATGGGAGTCTGGAACTCCTCTAAGCAGACGGAACATGATATTACCCCAGTGTTCCTGCTTCTTTCCCTGTTGGAATTCAAGGAACTCTATCAGATTAACAGACTCCTAAAAGAGATGAAAAATCACTACAACAGTTGTGTTTTGATGGCAGGTGAATTTACATTTTGACATCACATGACTTCTCGTGGTTGCAAAATGGGCAGGTGAACTGATTTTCCAAGTCCCCTGTCATCTTTTTCTTAGGGGGAGGCTTTCTTTTGGATTTGCGGCGACCCATTTCACATAAACAGCATCAACTCTGAAAGAAGCAGAAGACAATCCGCTTACACAAGAACTCACGAGCGAATGAGAGGAAATATGTCTGGTTGTTTGAGCCAAAAACCGCGTCTACTTGGCACAAACTTGCTCCACAAAACTGACGGTAAGTTAGCATGCTAACATTAGCATGTTTGTTTTGAGTCATGTGGACGTCATTCAGCTAACGAATCGACCTACGTAGAATATTTACTAAGACTGTTTTTGGTTGAGTTTCGATTGGTACCGCATAGAAAGCGTGAGGCGAGAGTTAAATGGTAATTAGTAAAAGTTTAACTTTGTTTACCTTCCTGAGTTGGAAACACACGTTGCTGCCCAGCAGAGAGTTGGGCTAGGACCCAGTTCTGTTGTCCGTTCCAGTCAGATGATTGGGAGAAAGCTTGAGCATACTTGTCAGCTATTGGTTGTCTGATACGTCAATCATTTAGAAAGAGTGACGACACAGCCTGAGACCGCTGTTTCCGCATGGCGGCGACAGAAACTCTACAGGTGTTTAAAATTAGTTGACATTTTGACTATTAGTGACCCTTCAAAGATCTTCAATAGTTTTAGTTTTTATGAGGTATGTTTCACAGCTTCGTCTTTGTGTAGTTCTAATGAAAAACCACCAACTTTATGTTAGAATTTACCTGAAAATTAGCCTCACAACGCTAGCTTAACAAAGCTAAAATTGATGATATTTCACTGATTAGTTTAATTTTTAGCTGGTCAGATTAGAAGTTGCCTCTTAGAACTAATATAATAAGTAAACAAATTTAATTTCACATGATTTTAGTAAAAGTTTTAGTATTTTTATTGAAAAAGCCGTTAGTCAAAGTAACTTCATTTAAAAACAATATTCCCGGACGTAATTTACACTGGCAATAGCGTTATTGATACTTGCTGAAATGACGTGTCCTACTCTACAACTTTTTACAAACGATTTTTCAGTATTTTGTATTTTTAAGCAACAAGTTGAACTTATTCAGTCCACAATGTTGTGAAAGGTGAAATAAGATTGATTCAATGATACAAAACCTTCGCAGCCCATGTGTAGGCACAATATGTCATATTGTAATTCATACTTGAGTCATTTTGTGTGTTGATGTGGTCAGTTTTAGGGTTCGATTAACTGTTTTGGAAGATGTCGGTGCTGCAGGCCGTCAAGATGGTCAGCCTGGGGTTTGTGGTGCTCTCCTTCAGCCTGGAGCTGCTGGCCAGGCTCTTTGGCCGGCTGAGGCGAAGACGAACCCTCAATGAGGTCCTCTTCTTCCCCTCAGAGGTGGCCTGTGTGCAGCACCTCTTCTCTCCTTTTCCAGCTCAGTGAGTGACGGGAACATTTTGTAATTAAATACAGGCTAGATTTCCATAGTTTGTTTTTACCGTGTTTACAAAAACTATAGTTGGTAAAAGTCTCCCCAAATCATCATGTTCCCCGTCTGTACATTTATGGATTTTTTGTTTACGTCAAACCATTGCTGAGGTTTTATATTTGAAATAAAGAGTTTATAGAATAGAATAGGAACTTTAGTACAGACACGAAGTCCAATAAAAACAAACACACAATTAAAACAGCAATAGAACATGCAAATAAAAATTGGTTGCCATAAGATACGCAATAAAAAAATAATACACCCTCACAAAATACAAGGATACCAGTGCTTATTTGGGACCGACACCGGACGTCACTGAGCCTTACATTAGACAAGTTCATAATAATCACATTGTCAGATCTATCCAGTCGACCAATACATTTATACATAGAGTTCCTTTAGACCGCTGATAAACAATTAACTCGAGCATTTACAAATATTTCACTTTCACTGCACCATCTTGGCAGCTTGAGTAGAGTTCTCATAGCATCACTGTAGGCAGTCTGAACCTTCCTCATATTTGCTTTCATATAGCAGGACCACAAGTGAGCTGTATATAGAGAAGTACAGAACACACGAAACTATTTTTTTTACATCATTAGAAAATGTGCCAAACCTACGCACAAGAGTGTTAGCCTGAGCATACAACCTGCGATGTTCTCTCAACATGACCCAAATATTTCACCTTACTGACCTCTTCCAAAACATTCCCTGCTAATAGAAAAGCAGGGAAAGCCATTTTGAGGTCATCTCTAGTGCGGCATATCATCACTACAATTTTGGCAGTATTAAACTTAATGTCATTATCGTCCCCACCCAGAACATTCACTTAGCATCTCCTGCAACCCAACACTGCTAGGACTGAAGACAACAAGGTCATCTACGTAAAAGAGATGATTCACACAGACACTGCTGATCATGCAGCCCGTAATGCACCCGGACAATTTTCTTTAAGTGATACTATTTAGGAGGTTTGTTCACAGGTTTTTTAAAGTCATTGCGTGGTGTTTTTAAAACGTTTATTAACACAAACTAAAGGTTTCTAGCCTTGAAAGCCATCCTATATATGTGAGTATCTAGTCTGGCCACGTCCCATTGATGGCTCTTGGTCGTGGGGTGGGATCTACGCTTGTTTTTCAAACTGTCTTTGCATGCTATTGGATAACAAACATGATGATGTACTCACCACTACGGATGTCAATCAGCGGGGTAGTCCGCCAAACACTGTTGATGAAAATGCAAATACATCATTTTTCCAAATAAAGGACTTCAATACCTCTACTTGCTCTTGACTCAAAGAAAAGCCCAAGTCAAAATAGTATAAAGTCGATGCCAAAGCTTTGTTTTTAGTAACATCCCGATCCCGCCCACCAGTAGTAAGCTGTGATTGGACCTCTATGGATGTCAGTCAGTGGGGCAGTTTTCCATTCATCATGGAAAAAGCAGGGAAGAGGACAAAAATACATTGTTTTTCTAAATAGATGTGCTGTGATTGGCCAGCCATGGCGGGGCCTGTGGTGATTCCATTGGAGCGTTGCTAGACTCACATGCAAACGATGGTCAAGATCAGTGTTTCCCAACCTTGGTCCTCATCACACACTGTCCTGCTTGTTTTCCATGTTTCACTTTTAAACACAAGTGTTTCCCTGCTGCCACACACCAAACTTCATTGAATGAGTGATTAACAGGCATCTGCAGCACTTGATGTCCTCCTGAGGAGGCTATGCAAAGCCTAGTCCACACATAGCCGGGTTGTTTTTAAAAACAAATATCCGCCCCTCCAAAAACTTGCATCCACACCACCTCGTTTTAAAAAAAAAACTCTGTCCACACGTACCCGGATAAATACGTTGTTAAGGACATGCCAGACCTGTAGGCGGCAGTACTTCCCCCCGTTCTTAACCTCGTCCTTCGTCTGTGGTCTTCCGCAAGGAGCAGTAATTCCGCTTGCAAAAACAAACAAGCAGAAAGCGCTTGGACAATTGATAAAGCGAGCGCAGCTCTGAGGGCATCCATGCTGTCGGCTAGTGTAAACACAGGTCGCACACGTGATGTCAGCATTTTTTGTCGCGGAAAGTGACGTTGCGGACCTTAAAACTCCGGTTTTGTCTGTCCACACGCAGACACCCAAAACGGAGAAAACGCAGATCTTCACTTTGGCCGGAGTTTTTAAAAAGATCCGTTTTCGTGTGAAAAAACTCCGTTTTCGTGTGGATGACAGGCCAAAACGTAGAAAAATATCTACGTTTTGGCAGATCCCCGGCTACGTGTGGACAGGACCTAAGTCAGATGTGCTGAAGCAGATGCATGGAAAACATGCAGGTCAGTGTGCCCTGAGGACCGGGCTTGAGAAACACTGGTCTAGATTATAGGCTGAAAGGTTTCTGCACCAATTCTTTGATCCAACACTAGTACAGGTAAACACAGTAAGCCAAGTTATGACACAACAGAATACATCTTTTTGGTGTTTTTACAACAGTGGTGTCAACACGTTTGCTTTCATTCAAATGACGTTTAATATAGAGTTGAAATGGTCTCTAGGTTCTAGAGAAGAAAAAATATTTTAAATAGCGCCTCTCAAGATAAGTCGCAATGTACTTTATAAGAATAAAATATTTATATAATCTCATAATACAAAAATTAGGGAGAAAAAAAAAGACACATTTTGTTAAATGTGAAGAAAAGAGGAAAAAGGCAATCACGGGATCCTGAAAAAGGAAGAAGAGGTCCATGTTTTATTTTTCCCTGGCATCAGATGGAACAAACGCTGCCCAAACTACCAAGAAGTTCCTTTTCCCTTCCACCTTAAATTCTTATAAACTTATGTTCCAGCCCATCATTTCTACTTGGACTCACCTCTGTGCGTTGTAGCTTCTGGTGTTTCCTCCTAACGACTCAGAACTTCACACGAGTTGCTGACTACTTTAATGCTTGGTGACGTTCTCAACATGGAGCATAAAACAGATTCCACATCATTATTTTTATTACTACTATTGTTAACATTTTCTTTGAAATCGACCTGAAATATAGTCCAAACATTCATTCCACTTTAATAAGTCCCTCAGACTCTTGTGAAGTCATCCTAATGTGAAGGTTTTCCCTCTTCGGTTCTGGTTCTGGTCCCTCTAGCTCCTGTTCCTGCCCGATGGCTCATGGCGTAGAGACGTCCTTCTCCCGTCTCCTCCACTACATCTTGTCTGCGTCCTCCTCTCTGGACTTGTGTGTCTTCTCTTTTTCCAACATGGACCTGAGCAGGGCCGTAGTCCTGTTGCACGAAAGGGGCACAACCGTCCGAGTCCTGACTGACCGGGACTACTCCGCCATAAATGGGTCCCAGATCGGGGTTCTTCTCAAGGCCGGTAAGAGAAACTCTTCAAGTTGGTTTTTAATTAGAAAGTAATCATAAAGTTTTCCTGCCTTTGAGGTTTGAAATAAAATGGTGCTGCGACTCGTTGTGTTCCTTAAGCCAGACGACAGAACGACACCATAGAAATATGAATGTATTTAATTGTACTGTACTAATTAAGTTGGTTATAATAGAGCTGCACACATGCTTATTAATCAACATGTTTACTGCTCTGAGGTGCAGATAAACAAAATTAATTACATTTTGTCCAAGTGTCGTTGTGCTGAAAAAGTAATCGTCTGTGCCTAAGAAAGCTCGTGAAGCTCTATTTGTGGAGGAGAAGACACCTCGGGTGTGGCCTGAGGGTGTTTTTGTGAGAGAAGATGATGATTTATGTCCAGTAGAAGGGTTAGCATTAGGCAACGTTCCATAATAAATAAATAAGTAAAGCTGGTGAGAAGGAGCCGAGCTAGCTTATTTACAGAGGTGATGACATCACACACTGTCCCTTTGTGTGTCCAGGGCAGCGTTTAGATGTGATGTCTGGTGATGTAAGGACCCTGCTTGTCTGAGCAGGTGTCTGTTTATCTATTGTTTGTGATGCCATAGCTGCACAATAATAAATAGTGAGATGCATCAAATCTGAGAAGTGAAGGAAGAAATAAACTTGTGTTCTACCAGTTTAGGGCTGCCATGTTGGATTTTTGCAGCCAGTCTCAGGTGTACCTGGAAGTCCCTCCAGCACATAGACGTGGTGTGTTTAGGTCACTAGTTCACACACTAATGGGCTGCAGACAGACCCACATAAAGGGGGGTGCAGGGGTTAGTTACGGTTTTGGATGATTTGTGTGAAACAACGTGTGACTCATGCTGTCTCACTCCGTCTCTCCATCTAGTAAATCACTTCTGCTACATCTGGTCAGGAAAGGATTACATAAGTAGGGAGCTGGCAAGCTGACAGCAAACGTCATTAGGAAAAGTGCTTGTGTGTGTGTGTGTGTGTGTGTGTGTGTGTGTGTGTGTGTGTAACCTTGAGAAATGTAATTTTAGGCAAGGAACAACAGACTCGACTTTTATTTTACTCTCTTTGTGAACACTTGAGTCTTGCTACCGGCACCAACACGGGGCGGCTCGGTTACGCTTACTGATAGCAGGTTCTTGAACAGATCCTGTGTCTCGTTTTGAGGCCAGGCTTTTCTCTCTGTGTGTTTGGGTTCGTTTATCCGTCTGTTGCCAAAACATCTCAGGAACCACAGAACTGCTTTAAAGCAAACTCGTAAGTATCTGATGAACGAAGAGCTACAGCTGATTAACAAGTGTCAACCTCATTCAACATGCCCACCTTAGTTGGAACTTGTTTCTCAGGAAAGTCTTGTGTCGGTGGAATAAATCTGATAATGTTGCCTTTCATTAAGTGATTGTGATTCCTCCTCCACCCCTCCAGGGATCTGCGTGCGACGGGACATGTCCTCTGTGCTCATGCATCACAAGTTTGCAGTGGTGGACAGTCGGCTGCTCATCACCGGCTCCCTCAACTGGACACTGACAGCAGTGCAGGGCAACATGGAGAACATCGTCATCACTGAGGAGCCCGACTTGGTTCAGCCCTTCATCGCCGAGTTCCAGCGGTTATGGGTGGTCAACGACCCAGCCCGCTTCTACCAGAACCAATGAATGATTAGCAGAGCCAGATACTGATTCTTTGGCGTTGAAGGTGTTAGGCCTTTAAAGATCTTTGGTAGTAAGAGGTGACGTTAACGTTTGGGTCAATTTGAGTCCAAACAAGTTTCATCAGTGAGATTTAAAGGGTAAAGAGAGACAGATGTGAGTTTAGTCCTGTTGCAGCCCACAGTTCTTGGTTTTTAGCTTGTTTTATTTCCTAACTGTTGAATCAGTCTGTAGGAACTGTTATAAAGATCCTTTCTAAATCACACAGCTGGTTTGTTTTGAAGGGATCCTTCTTTTCTCGTGTTTCCTTTATGCGGTAAATTGTTTTTAAATCTGTTTCTGGCTGAAGGTTTTCCGCTTTGTTGATCAAATGAAAGTTTTCTGCGTACAAGTGAGTGATCCTGTGTGTAGCTTGTTTACTAAAACCAGTCCGTATCCTGTGAGCCTTTAACGTTTAGGTTTTATTCACTGCAAAGTATAACAAACTTTAGCTGTGTTGTTTTATTTCTCCTCAGGTGAAGTTTGTTGTTGCTCTGACACGTTTTTATGTTGTAGAGTTTCATCACCTGTGGTTTCCCAACAAACCGCTGATCTGGTCCGAATGTGGAAAAACGAGCCACTTCATGCTCCTCTCATGGCTGGGCACGTTCTGACTGTTCGTGCTTGTGTCTGCAGCAGGTCTTTAGTAGCAGTGAGATCTGTAGCGTAGCAGGTAGTCAGATATGGGCTGAGGTGTGCACAGATGGTGTGCATACCAGTGTTTACTAGAAAAGGTGTGTCAGTGTACAGGAGACAGCTTCAAACAGAAATCAAATTGCCCGGATGTCCTTCAAAATAAAAGCTAATGTTTGCATGACCTGAGAATAGTTTTTATGTGTTGTTTGATAGATACACTCATTATGGGAGCCTTTCATTTTCATTATGAATAAAACATGATGACGTTTGTTATGATTTCTAGAATAATTATCAGGACTGACTTTTACATATATGTCTCTGACACTCAATTCTTTGTTTCTGGCGCTGGAAATATGCAGCCATACACCACACATTTGTTTCAATGTAAAAAAAATGTTACCATAACTTGGTAATCCCAGTGAAGAGTGGATTAATATATCTGGTAACTATTATTTTACCAGGATGTTGACTTAACATTCCTGATCAAAGTAACTCTCCACTCAAAGGTACAAGCTGCACAATTAGTTAATACAATTTAAATGGTTGAATTTATGTTTACTAGTTTTTTTCGATTAATTTGAAGTTCTTTTCTTTGCATTTTTCTGTGTAAGTCAATCTATTCTAGGAAATGAATATATATATATATATATAGACTAAAAAGCTGTCAAAAATGACTAGAAAATAATAAACATGACACTGAACAGTTTAGTTTCAGCAGTAACTGTTTTAAAATGCTAATGAGAGCCCTGACAATATACATACATTTAAAACAAAAGAGACTGGCAAAATAGCAGGAAAAAATACAAAAAAAGTCTAGTTTTAAAAAAGTAATTGCACTGTTCAATTACAGAAGACCTAAAAAAAATGTTTTGCTGTCGCTGCGATTATCAAGTCTTCGAGGAAAACTTTGTGTTTTACTCTGAAAGGATTCACCGGAAGTGCTGTGTTACTTCCTGTAGTTTGACGCGCTGGAGCTCCGCTCGCATGCAGCGTGAGGAGATCCGGGAACGGAGCACCCGAGTAGGAGCGGCCGACAGCGGGACGTGGTTGTGGGTTTGCTTGCGGCTGTTGGGAGAAAAACTCAAGTTTTCAGGTGAACTCACATTTTATCAGAAAAAAAGGCATAAAGATGGAGCTATCGCGGTTATTTAGGCGATAACTAGCTTCAGTTTTAACTTTACACTGGCGTGTCAGGGTGATTCTACACACATCATCGTCTGTAAATGAAACAATGTGCTGTTATCCATGTAGAAACTGTTATAATAAACTCATTCATGCTTCCAAAACATCTACCAAACAATTTGAGGATAGTCGTGTGTGCGCATGCGCATATTTGGTGTTTTGCTGAGTGTGTGCAGCAGCTCTACTCCCTCTGTTATGATCAGTGTAAACGCTGAGTTTGTCTCCAGGGAGGAGCAGCACACCCTACTGCTCCTCAGGGAGGAGGAGGAGATGAGCGCAGATGAATGAATGAATGCAGGGCCCATCCTCATGATGATGCAGAGGGGGGAGGGGGTGAGATATGGTTGGACTATGACAGGAGGGATGCACAGATGGATGAATGTAGGCGAGATAAGGAAGATAAATGGGAGGGTGTTTGTGTATGCGCTCAGCTGGGAGCTGTCAGTGGGTGGATGAACGCACGGGTGGGTGATGGATGAAATACACACGCAGGTTAAGAGAATCAGTTGCCCTCGGCTCACCGCTCTGTGTCCACTCATCCTAGCAGCCTCTGATGTTACTTCATGTGACAAATGGACGGAGGAAGCAGGAGGTGACGGATAATGGGACAAACTGCGGAGGGAGCACGCCCTTCCCGTGATCCACAGCGTGGTGATGAGCTCTAAGAAGGATAAGACAGGAAGAGCGATGGACATTTACCCCACCTGCGTCCAGGCAGTATGAGGCAGCAAAGAGGGGCTGCCAAATGTTTCTCATTACTCACCAGGACTAGCGTTGCTCTTGGATGCACATGTTGATTGCTATCTACTTTCATTTATTTAGTTATATTTTTTAAAAATAAACAAGGAGATGTTTAACTTTTTGCTATGAAAGTGATATCTAGTGGAGATTCTATGATCTGGCAGACCTCCACCCTTTAAGTTTTCTTAATTCACTGGTAAGGTCAACCTGTAGCTGTGACGTTCAAGGATGATGCTTTTTATGCAGTTGTGTGGCATCAGTTCACACTCCCACGGTGCAAGCAGTGATCTTAACGAAGCCATTTTAAAGGGTTAAAGGTCATTCCCAATGTATTTAAAGTTCATTGCTCCACGGTGAGAGTGATTATCTTAAGGCAGCTGCTAGACATCCAGTTAGTATTATTTTCAGCACATTCCTTAGAAAAATGGACAACTATACTTGCTATCATGGCTGCCTCGCGTAACATGTGATCTCAATGTTAACCAGCTGCTGGTCTAATCCACTGTGTTTGTTTTGTTTGCACCCTACAAACCTATCCTCATCTGTGCCCCAGACAAGCTGGTTCCCAAAGTCAGAGACTCTCTTGGTCAGCTTGCTTCTCACACCAAACCTTCTGTCAGGAATCTTGGCGTGACCTTTGACCCGGCTCTCACCCTGGATTCTCATGTCAGTTCTCTTGTTCGCTCTTCCTTCTTCCATCTCAGGAACATTGCTAAGCTGAGTCCCATTCTGTCCTGCTCTGAACTTGAGACAGTTCTCCACACCTTCATCTCCTCACGCTTAGACTACTGTAACTCTCTTTTCACGTGTCTGAGCAGAACCTCCCTGAACCGTCTACAGGTGGTTCAGAATGCCTGTGCTCGGCTTCTGACCAAGTCCTCCAAACACACCCACATCACCCCGCTTCTCCTGCAGCTTCACTGGCTGCCAGTCAACTTCAGGGTTCATTTCAAGATCCTGGTACTGGTCTATAGGGCCTTACATGGACAAGCACCATCTTACATTGGTGATCTTCTTAGTACCTACACCCCCAGCAGGTCCCTGAGGTCCAGTGATCAAAGCCTACTGGTTGTGCAGCACCAGGCTAAAGACCAAAGGTGACAGATCATCTGCTGCTGTGGCCCCCAGACTCTGGACCTCTCTCCCCCTGAGCCTGAGATCAGTGGACTCAGTGGTCTCCTTTAAAAAGCAGCTGAAGACTCACCTGTTCAAGCTGGCTTTTGTATGACCTTCTTCACCACTCTCTCTTTATTCTGCTCTCCCCACCTATTCCACCTTCCTCAGGATCCACTGATCTCCCTCTTTCCTATTCACTCTCTCTTTCTTAACATTTTTTCTTTTAAATCCCAATTGCTTATTTTTGCTCATTTTAAATATATTTTTCAACATTTTATAAATGCTTTTTTTATATTTTAACATTTTTTTGTTTTTGTGAAGCGCCTCGTGATTTTTGTCTTGAGAGGCGCTATAGAAATGATATTTTCTTCTTCTTCTATCTCGTCTTGAGTTCTGCTCTGTGGCCCCCTAGTGGAGTACTCCAGTACTACGTGTAGTGCAGCAGCAAGTACGTAACCAAGACACTGCCTGCATCAATGCGAGGTTAAAGAGCAAGCATGTTCCCTGCGTAAGGCTGGACAAATGTATGCAGCATCAACGATAGACCAAGCCCTTTACCCCTGAGCAATATAATAGAATATATTTCATGTTTATGAATTAGTCCTGCAGACATTACACTCAATGGTATGTGGCCTGTATTTACATAGTGCCTTCTAGGGTTCTACAGGGTGCTTTAGAACTGACTGAATTGAGGTGTTCGAGTGGTCCGCCCCAGACCTGACGCTGTGTGGTGGTGGGATCATCAGAGGTCTAAGTAGAAAATGTCTGTAAACCTTAATGAGTGGAAGAGGATCCGAATCAGAGTTGTTGCAGCTGTGATGTAGTTTGTTTTTCTGTAGCGTGTTTTCTGTTGCACGCAGGTCTGTAAGCTCGTCTCGGCTCACCTGCTCCGTGTTTTATCCGGCAGATGGCTTTAGCTCGAGATCCAGGGGTGGGCCAGGAGCAGAGGGACGCGGCCGACCAGAACTTTGACTACATGTTCAAGGTGCTGATCATCGGCAACAGCAGCGTGGGAAAGACCTCCTTCCTGTTCCGCTTCGCAGACGACTCCTTCACCTCGGCGTTCGTGAGCACAGTGGGCATCGACTTTAAAGTCAAGACTGTTTATAGGAACGACAAGAGGGTCAAACTCCAGATCTGGGTGAGATGAAGAACCTTCATTTGAGTCTGCATTTACGCTCACCGTCTGTGTTGAGCGTGTAGCTTATGCTGATTATGAGGCGTTATGTGTTCGCTGGAGAGTCTGTCAGACATCCTCTAGACCAGCAGCAGGTGCTTCTGATCCACTAAATAGAAGCTGCATTCAGCAAAGCATTTTTTATCTTCTGTTTATTTATTTTATGTTTTGAATTAGGGCTGCACGATATTAGGAAAACCTGCGATATTCGATATCAGTGCTTAATATTGCGATATCGATATTACTCTCGATAAATGAACAAATACTAAAGTATGCAGTGTTGATGTCGTCTGGCGTGTGACGTCTGCTCTGGGTTCAAAGCAAACAAAAACTGATGCATGAATTCCATTACAACATGACATTTTTATTGCAAAAATATGCAGCTGCACCTGCTACTGTATTAGCAGCTGCACCTGCTACTGTATTAGCAGCTGCACCTGCTACTGTATTAGCACCTGCACCTGCTACTGTATTAGCAGCTGCACCTGCTACTGTATTAGCAGCTGCACCTGCTACTGTATTAGCAGCTGCACCTGCTACTGTATTAGCAGCTGCACCTGCTACTGTATTAGCAGCTGCACCTGCTACTGTATTAGCAGCTGCAACTGCTACTGTATTAGCAGCTGCACCTGCTACTGTATTAGCAGCTGCACCTGCTACTGTATTAGCAGCTGCACCTGCTACTGTATTCGCAGCAAAACAACAAACTGCATGCATGCAGTTTCTCAGTGACTTTAAAACATCACCTCCACCATAAAACTGTTTCTGATGCTCCAAATACAGAAAAACATCCCTTATCAGGGTTTTTGAATAAATAAAAACATCAGAAAATAAGTTTAAATGTTAAATAATAGTTAACATCACTTAAATGCAACAGCAAATTCTCTCATTGCTACTGAACATTTTCTCCACTTGTGTGGTTATGATATAAGGCTGTTGCTGCTATTGGGAAGTGAACTGTGCTGGGCCAAACTAGGAGAATATTAAGATTTTCTGATGGAAAGAGAAAAACAATTATCTACCTTTCAGAAGAGGAACTGGCAAGAAAACTACATGGAAAATATGTGAAAACGTTTGTTTTTAACCCCAAATTGAACAAGTTTACCTGGATCTTAAAAAGCAGCTCAGATGATGAAACTGCAACTATGATTCTGATAACAAGCTAACAAATTGAACTAGCTCCTCTAAGATAACCGGCTAGCAGAGCTTCTGACTGACAGTTTATGTGCAGCAGCAAATCAACTCTCCTGATTAACAAGGTTATAAAAGCTCATGAATGAAAAATCACTTTGATGTGTGGGGGAACTTTTCCAGGCCCTCTTTAGCAGGGTGGGACTGGGAGGAGAGTGCTGTAGCCTTTTAGCTGGAAGCTAACCGGAGCCTGGGGCTAACACTAGCGACATGAAGGTGGGTTGGTTCACCGGCACGTGTCGGAGTCAGACCGGTTATTATCAGCTGCTTAACGACACCGAGCGGACTCACGTTCACGTTTGAAAGCAGCGCTGAATCCAGAAACCTCAGCACAAAATGCGTTCTTTGCTCTGAGCCAGCATGACGAACAAGGGAACGGCGTCGCTAACTCGGTTCGGGTGTTGCGTTCCACCCATCCTATGGGTCTACGTAGGGGGCGGGCGTATTACGTGAACGGACCCATCTGATTGGCCGCATATCAGAAGGGCTACATTTGATTGGTCAAATAATACTTCTGTGTAAAAAACATAGCTGGTTTACAAAAAGTTGATGTATGACACAGATGGAAATGTTTGAACCATTTATCGCCGTTTTTGACGTGCTTTGCGATGGGCCTATCGCACGTCCTGTTATCACGATGACGATAATTTTTCGATATATTGTGCAGCCCTAGTTTGAATGCAGTCATGTGGTTTCTTCTCTGCAGGTAGAGGAAAAAGCCTTGTGCCGATTTTTTTCCTAGCTGCGAAAACAACTCTACTCTTTCATTTCATACTCTGTATACTTAGTGAACACATGCCGTTAGCTGTTGGTTTTAAGGTAAGGCCCGGGCCAGACTGTGCCTTTCTTAGGTCATCATACACGAATCTCTCATTATGAACAACGTTGTGACAAAAAATGGTGATCGTGAGGGTGACTTGCAGGTCCGTGGACGTCCAGTGACGGCTTATTCAATTAATGTCAGAATACCTTTGACTCCAGTCTGCCAATCGACCAATGAAAACACACCCAGGGAGTGATGCGTAAAACTAGTGACTAGTGTTGTCAAAAAAATTGATACCCAGATATAAATCGATACTAAAAGTGGTATCTAAATGAGATATTCCATCCCTGTGGTATCGATATTATGGACTATTATACACAGCCTTCTTCAAGTACACCGACACACACGACAGCCAGATGCCGTAAAGCAGACTCCGCCTCCCAGACAAACAGAAGAAGACGCCGCATGGCTACATTGCAATTTCCCACGCGAGTTGTCTCCGATCCAAGTTTTGTCTGCCAAATAAATAAACAAAAACATAAACAGCGAATTTGGGAGGCGCTTCACAGCCCAACTTAATTAGCATACCAAGTTCGACACGTAGTTGTATATTCACGCTTATGTGCTTAAAGGAAAACTCCCGTTTATTGCAACCCGGACTTAATTTCTAGCATGCAGTACGTTTGTTTACTCACGCTGACAACTTTGGTGCTACTTGGATTCCCCGGGGTATTTAGATCCATCGGCGAATCGCCATCAGTGTATATCCATATAACGGGTGCGGATGGGCACCCATGGTGCAGCCTCGAAATAAGACATTATCTGCACCAGAACATCTCAATGTCGAAAGGTTTTGTTAGGAATCATTAATGTGATTCCCCTGTTCGTTTGGAGCGGATCTGGGATTTCCAGGCGTGAACAGACTAGCTGTGGCTAATCTAACCGGCGCTTTTAATGACGTCACTGCCGTGCGCCAATCTGTTTTTATTAAGATTACCGGTAGATGTACCTTTGTCCTACTGTGGAGAAATTCATTTTCTCCCTTTATTGACCAACAGAGTTGTTCAAAAGTACAGAACAAAACATATGGCATTACAGCTTATGACAAAAATGCACCTTAAACAGAGTTTAATCAGCAAAACATCACTCTGCAAATAGTGTATGTATAGTGAGACAATTCATGATTTAAAGTGTTAACTTTCACCAGTTTTTGTATGCACGTTTTAAAAAATGCTGATACTTGAAAGGTTTAAGCACTTAATACACTTAATTCTTAACATTTAATTTTTGCAATATAAATTGAGGAATGTTATTTTTTGAATAAACTTGTTTGATAAATGGGTATTTTTAAATAGTATCGAAATCGAGTATCGAGTTTTTTCCAAGTATCGAATCGAGTTTGAAATTTTAGTATCGTGACAACCCTACTAGTGACAGGAGTACAATGCGAGAGTAGCATTAGCAACAGTGGAGGCTACATGCAGGAACATGTGGACCCACTACCTTTTGGAGTCTAATAACAGGCGAGTTAATGGTGGAGTTTTTTTCTCTCCGTCGTTGTTGTCTTGGGTATCTGCACATGGCATTAGTGTGGTCTGCTTGGGTGGTCAACCCCACATCGGGCCAAAGTGTAAAGCTGGGACAAAGTTGTGGGCAAAACTCTATTTATTGAAAAATTGACTACAATTGTACACATTGTCCTTTATCTCCAGATAAGTAATGTTGAACCGTTTTATATGGAAAACCTTAATTTTGCATGAACAGTGAATCTGGAATAACCAACGTTATAAACACACGAGCAATTCAATTAGAAATGAAACACACATCAGTGGCATTCATTACTTCTATGTCTGTCTGTAGCCTTTGGAGTTCCTACTCCAAATCCTTTTTCAAAGGCCAAACACTGAACAACAAAAATAGCTAGTTCCTTCGGTGAAAATGCAATTTTCCATGCCTTGAAGTAGAAAAAGTACATAATGAACATTAATTCAAGCTCAGTTTGCTTCGCTCTGAAGGTCTCCAAAGCACACTGGTTCAGGCCAGATTCCTGGCATTTCGTAGATGCAAAGACATCAATCAGTGTGTTTACATGTGCATCAGAAAACTGAACTATTGCTTTAAATTGACGTGTTAAGCCTGCCGCACACGAGAGCAAACTGCTGAGCAAACGGCCTCGAATGACCATTTGCTCAGCAGATGCCTCGCTGTGTGCGCCAGGTTTTCTCTGAGTTTTCTGCCTCACGAGAGGCTGAGGTGAATATCTGACCGGTTTGATATTTTCCGCCTCACGGGGGGGGGAACGACTCACCGTGTGCACACATCGTGAGCTGCTGGCTGCGCTGAAATATTTTAGTGGCCAATCCAATTTCCACTGCTAAAAATGTAACAGTGACATAACTATTATGTATGGGTTTGCAATAGTCCAGTTTGAGTTATGTTCAAAGATGGACATGTTTGTGGATTACATGCTACAGTGGCTTGCCCTAATGCTGCAGCGGTGTTGAGCTGAGCAGACTCGAAGCAGCTGTTCTGCTGCATAGCGCAGCTTCACGGGGACTTTACTTCTACTTGTAGTGTTTAGATATTCTTAGTTTCGCGACCATCGTGTTTTTTTCTGAACCCCACTTAATAACAAGCAACTTACCTTTGTTCAGTAAAGTGCTGGGGAACAAAGTAACTTGAAAAGATGTCACATGAGTGCTACGTCTAAAAATAGTTAATCGCACAGATTCTTTTCATTGCATGCGCGACATATATGTCTGTCTGCTCTGCTGCTGCATACGGATGAGCTGCGTGCATTGGCTTACTTAAAGGTTGCACGACATGAAATAAAAATGACACAACGAATCGACGACGAATGCGTTGCCGACGCATTTTTTCATAGATTTTTATCGATTCGATGTTGCAGCCCTAGACGGCGATACGATTTGCAATAAATACACAAATACCTTTCTCAAGAATAAAATAACATTCAAACAAAGAATAAAAATGTAATGTCAAAAAATGGGAAAAGCAAAAATAGTGATCAGAAGATGTGGGGAAAGGGGTAAAAAATGAACAAGAAACGGCAATCAGTGGATCCCGGGAAAGGCAGCATCAGCAGCTAGAGCTGAGCAGAGCTAACTCAGGTGTTTGCTAGCTGTCCAAATTAAGGGCGGTCCGGTGGTGGTGGTGGGCGGGGGGGGGGGGGGGGGGGGGGCATCTAACCTAAAAGAACCCAAGACCTAAAAGAGGCCTCCTTGATTTGTGAAAAACTTCATTTATCCGTAGGATTGACAAAATGCATTATGTGTAGCAAACATCTGAGCTGACCATTCATTGCTGTTTTTGCGATATGCGTATTGCGCGTGCGGACATTGCGATGTATTGTGCAGCCCTAGCGTGCACATTATTTATCTCTTCAGATTCATCTGGTTGCATCTGTCATCAATTTACATCAGAGTTGTCTTTTACAGATAAATTCATTCATATTTACATCAAATCTGAAATAACGGCATGTTTTTGCTGTACATTTGTTCCTTTTAAGCTCCACCATAACAAAAGCTAACAGCTTTGTCAGCCTAAAGATTGAAATCTTTGTTTCAGGAGAATTCTCTGAAAGCTTTGTAATGTTCTTCACCAGACTGAAGCGAAACAAAGAGGTGACTGCTTTGACGTTTTGCATAAAGCCTGAGTCACAGATGAGATCTACCAGAGGTCATTAGCAGCGCTAACCATGAGGAGGGAATAGACAGTTCTGAGGAGCGTGTTTCCTACTTACACGTCGTGAATTTAAACTCATTCCTGCCACTGGACTTAATGACAGTTGATGTTTAACATCGTCCCCAGACGGTGGGCTTCATGAAAGATGCATGGGACGGAGCTGCCGGAGCCGAATGTGCTCACTGCTCAGTCTAACACCCGCGAAGGATCTACTACTGAGTGTTAAGCTTGGTTTATGCTTGACACATTCACTTTCCGCGCGGTGATGCAGCTCGTGGATGGAACGCGCTTCACAACTTGCAGCTTTTATGGTTCGTGCGGCTTCTCTCTGCGGTGAGCCAATATTCTCCCAAACTGAACGGGGCAGCATGGAGCTCTACGGCATGCATTCAACACTACACTAGCCTGGCAAGCCAGACTAAATAAATGTATTATTTAGTCTGGCCATGCTCCTTTGACGGCTCTCGGTTGTGGGGCGGGTTCTACCGTTGTCTTTCAAATTATCTCTGAATTCCACTGGACAATGAATGTGACATACTCTTGTTTCACTCTGTTGTATCATCCCACCCACCAGGCATATAGAGTGCCCTGATTGGCCCACAAAGCGGATTAAGCTCTGTGATTTGTTCACTAAGCAGATAGAGCACCATGATTGGCCCACCATTATGGACCAATCACAGCTCTTTATGTGTTTGAAACCCCTCTAGAGAGCTGTGATTGGCTAGCCAGAGTCCTGGTAGGAGCTGCTGAGGTTCCAATGGAGCATGCCTAGACCAAACTTTGCAAAGCAAGAATTTGGTCTAGTTCACTAGGCTAACACTACACCATAGTAGAAGTAGAAATTACTGTTTACAACATGGCATTCCAGCATTTTTAACAGCGTTCTCGTCTTTTCTGACAGTGCGAGCTATTTCTCTCCAAGAATTATTAACTACATGTTGATCACGGTGATCTCTGAGAGCTGAATCATACAAATGTCTGTATTTACGAACCTCTGCTATACTAGTTCTTGCCGGTCCGCCATGTTTTTCCGCGTCTGTCCGTCCGCGTGGTTTTCCGAGGTGCGCGTTGCGGAAATTCTGGGCCGTGCGGAGGCGCGGTGGAGGGGCGTGGTTGTTAAAATTACGCCAAATTATGCAACTTTTCCGCGCGGAGCCATGCGGACCTCGCGGACGCTTCAAGCTTAAACCAACCTTTAGTGGAAGCCAGTGACCACGCCCCCCTCGGTGTCCATTCTGATGAAAGCACTGAATCTTTTTTTAAGTGTATTAAAGTTTCCGGTACACAAAGAAGGTACATGAAGAGGACGATGATGGAACTGGAATACCTTATTGAGTTATTTAAAAATAACTCTTTTCCCATCTGCTGTAGATCTCCAGTAAACCATTTTTAAGATGTCAGATGAACCCAAACCTTTTTGTCCCGTATCGTTAGACTTAGGGATGTAAGAAAATATCGAAATGGCAATGTATCATGATATTTTATCCTGTGATATTGTATCGATATTCAAAAGCTGTATATCGAAAAAATATTGATATGGTAATATATGGTGATTTTTATCCTGTGATTTTATATTGATATTCAAAATCCATGTTATCAAATTTTTGGAAGAATTAACATGCAAATATTTGTGTATTTTCTTCTCTTTTGGTGCAATTCAAACGCAGACCGCTGGTTGGCAGCAGTGAGCAATGTGTTTTGTCTCCACCACTGAAATGTAAATCCCTCTGTTATGGTTCAGATACCTTGCGTTAAAAATGTTAAGTGTCAGTTTGGACTAGGGCTGGGCAATAAATCGAAAATTTATCGTTATCGAAATTTCTGACTCTTATCGTGATCATTTTTCCCATGTCAATTAATTCGATAATAAAGAAATTAAAAGATGTGTAGGTAGGTAACGTTCACATCCCTTTAAGAAGCTGTACCACCTTGAGTCACGTAAAAATGTGATTCAAGTAATACATGTGACAGCCCCATCTAGTGGACAACTTTTGTTTCTGTGCATACCTGTAGTTATCGAGGTGAAATTCTCAATACATCGTGATACTGATTTTAGGTCACATTGCCCAGCCCTAGTTTGGACTGTTTATTGAATATTCCTACAATAAATTCAGTCTAAAAAAAATTGCTAATATCGTCTGACTGAATGTATCGCAATATATCGTGATATGTTGTATCGTCTCCCCTGTATCGTGATACCTATCGTATCGCCAAAATTTCACCAATACACATCCCTAGTTAGACTCATTTAATGCTGTCGTATAAATAAGACATCCATAAGTTTCCGTCAGCTCGAAGCAGATCCGACTGTAACTTAGTTTGTTTACCGGGTGGGGCCCTTGTCTCTCTCTCCTGGCAACTCATAATGTTTACTTCAATATTTAACAGAGAACCAAATTTTTCCTCTGGAATTATGTTTAATTTTCTTTATTGACACGGAAACATCACCACAGAGGAACATGATATATTCCTAATTTCAGTGGGATTATTGGTATTTATCTAATAAGAATGAGAATCCCCAGAAAGCTTGGATTTGAGCGATTTAACGACTTGTTTGCAGGACACGGCAGGACAGGAGCGCTACAGGACCATCACCACAGCCTACTACAGAGGAGCCATGGGCTTCCTGCTCATGTATGACATCACCAGTCAGGAGACGTTCTGCGCCGTTCAGGACTGGTGAGTAGAGCCGTGCAGCGAGAACGGCGCCGGTTGGCACAAATTAGGTTGTTGTGGGAAACAAACTTGAAATAACAGAAATAGCAAAATAGAAAAAAGTCCGTTCTGATTTTGACATTTTGGTTTCATGAATATAAGCAAAATGTGATTTAAACTGTTTACAAACATGATGATCCATCTAAATCAGGGGTAGGCAACCCTGGTCCTGGAGGGCCACTATCCTGTATGTTTTAGTAGTCCTTCCTGTTCCAGCACACCTGATTCAGTGGTTAAATCACCTGTTCAGCAGCTCACCAGGCCCCGCAGAAGCCTGTTAATCATTGGTTGAAAGCACAGGTGCTGAATGAGCGAAACAATGAAAACACGCTGGATGGTGTCCCTCTAGGACCAGGATCAGAGACCCCTGCTTTTGAACTGTTACGGTTGACCCAGGCTAGCCCTGGTAGGTTAAAGAGCAAGTCACTCCAAATCAACATTTTTTTTTTTGCTGATAAACTATATAAATGAGTGTCTGACCATGCTGTAGACAAATTTAGTCAATAATTTGGCACTTTGGTGCATCTTAGTTAAAATTTAAATATTCTGCCTGAAACTGTCAGTGGTGCACCATCGTCAGGTAAAAACTCAGCACTGCATTTGAATTTAAATCTGCCATCGCTATTGGCTAAAAGGTACATTATGATGTTAGATGGCAGAGTATGATGTCACAGTGTCGTGAGTGTTTGTATCTGTAAGTGGCTCCGCCCCCTCGGTCTGCTAGTCAACAGTATTTGTTGCATATTTCACACAGGAAGTGGGAGTTGAGTAAGAATCTGGTAGGAGGTGACTTGCTCTTCAACTGTGTTCACATCCGGGGAATCAGTGCGTTTCCATGCACGGCCGGCTTTATTTTTCGGACCTGCTCCCCAGCGGTCTGCCTTGTGCGGAGCTGACCCAACACATACACACACTACCGACTGATTGGCTGGATGAAGTTCACACCTACTTACTAGGGGGAGTCTGTGATTGGTGGGTAGAAACAGCCAGCGACGGCTTCCTGTGTGCGTGATTCATTATCCGTCTGAAGGCTGTGGGGTAAACGTCTCTGACTGCAGCTCAGAGCCAATGCTCCAGCTGCGGCAGCGGCTCAGTGAGGGAGTAGGAAGCTGTGTGTTTCATATCAGAGGGTGTTTCTCAATGCCAAGGAACGTCGCCTTGATGTCTTGGTCCCGCCCCGGTTGCCTAGGAGATACATCATCAGGAGCCGCCACGAAGTGTTACAATGTTCATGTCCTACCGAGGCGTGTGCTCTCCATTTGTTAGTCGTTTAGCTAGCTGAGCAAGGATACATGGGGGGTGTCTTGTAGCCTAGCCTTGGTCAAAAATTACCCAGTGTAGCGTCCAAGAAGGGTCAATTTTCACATACATATTGACCTACACAGTGTTCGGTCACCTACAGACAAAATTCCACTATCTGAATGGATTTTACATTCCATCTTCCAACAAGCCAGAAGATTCTGCAGTCCTTGTTGACATTTCAGGGAAACAAGATGTCAGCCTATGTTCCCAAACAAGGCTGTGTGTGTGTGTGATTGTTTGTCCTGTGTGTCTCTGTGTTGCCCTGCGATGAACTGGCACTCTGTCCAGGGTGTACCCCGCCTGATTGCCCGTTGACCGCTGGAGGAAGGCACCAGCCCCCACCCCCCACCCCACCCCACCCCCTGCTGCCGCTGCGCGACCCTGCATGGACAAGTGGGTTCAGAAAATGGATGGATAGCAAACTTGTCACCTTTCGGGGGAAATTGCCACTTTTGTAGCCAACTACGATGCTCACGTGAATCAAAGTCTTTTGTTTCTAGAGGTGGGGGTCTTCGGTCGAGTTTCAGTCGTTCTTTAGAAGAATCAATTTTCAGAGCAAGGAGGGGAGTTCAGTGGGCCACAAATGATCATTTAACCAGTCACAGAGACAGCTTGGTAAAAACACGCTGCGGGTGCGCGGCACTCACGATGCGTAGGATTGCTGCTGCTTCAGCATCCCGCGGCGGTTGGAGCTTCAAGTTCATCAAATCAAAAACATCGCTACTAACTACCACGGATTTCTGTCACGGACTTTAGCAGGTTAGTCTCCTTTCAGATGTTTCCTGACGCTCGCCATGTTGTATTTAGTTTTTGTATTTTTATTTATTGAAGTTTCCGTATTTAACCCTGTTAAAACGTAGTGTTAGCAACATGAACAGGCTATTCATGAAATGGCCACCAGCACGCTACAACCATCCCATTTTATTGATCCGGTCACTGGAAGACTTACGGACGCTGGAGTACAAACACGCGATGAGATCATTTCTAGTACTGTAATGGTTCTGCAGCACTAAAGCACAAACAGAACCACATTTTGCTCTTATGTTTGTTAAAGCAGGGCAGCAAATAACAGATAATTCTAGAACACCGAGGTTAAAAAAAAAACAAGTTTTTAAAGCTGGTAAACATTTTCTCACAGAGATGAGTCCATAAAGATCCAAGAAGCCGATGGCCTGCAGGAACCCTGAAAAAGTGATGCTGCTGTTCCACCTGAGAACAAAACACCGTGTTGGGAGTAAAGCATGTCTGAAGTATGAAAGTGACCTGCTGTGGTGAACGCGTGTGATTTCTCCTCAGGGCAACACAAATCAAGACCTACTCATGGGAAAGTGCTCAGGTGGTGCTGGTGGGCAACAAGCTGGACCTGGAGGAGGACAGACAAGTCCCAGCGGAGGACGGGCGAAGAGTGGCCCGAGAGCTGGGTGAGAAGTGCAGCACTCGCCGGCGCCGCTCTAAACCACGTCTGAACTTGTCCGATCTTCCTCTCCCAGGATTCCAATTCTTTGAGGCCAGCGCCAAAGACAACGTCAACGTGAAGCAGGTCTTCGACAAGCTGGTGGACGTCATCTGTGAGAAGATGAACGAGAGCGTCAACAGCGAGGCCAGCCCGGTGGTCAGCCAGAAGGGGGACGCTCTGAGCGAGAAGCCCGTCCCCAGTCCTGGAGGCTGTGCGTGCTGATGCCAACATCTACACGGAAAGTTTGCCAAAGCTGTTTAATCCTCACGTTTTTTTTTCTTTGCTTCTTCGTCGCTGCGGGTCGACTGTTCCTCTGAGATGCCAAAGAGCTTCACCTCTGCCTTTTTCTCACCGTCTCTGCTTTAGTGGCATCCTGCTCATCCAGGTCAGTGGGTCAGCAGCACCTGCTGCTGACGAGGACAGGAGCCAGATATCAGAGTGGCCTGGAGACTTGCATAGGATTTACTAGTGTCAGGCTGCCCCCTGGTGGCCTTTTTATGAAAATGCATCACCGTGTTAATGGAAACTTGTCAGTGTTGAGTTACTCTTATCTGAGGATGTTGCATCATTTTTGCACCATGCAGGTTTGTTTTGTTGAAAGTATGATCTGATCTGTCTGTAATTTATTTTTCCTTCACTTTGTATATTTAATAATTAATGCTAATTACATATTTCTCTGGTCGGGTTGTAATTGTGCCTCTTAAGGTTGAGATTTCAAGACAAATTTGAACAGGCTGTCTGTTGGCCTTCATTTACCCGGAGCTGTGGTCCGTTTCCTGGATAATGATCCCTAAAACAAATCTGTGGCGTCAAACTGGAGATTTTATTAGTTTGTTTTGTTCCAGTCATAAAATAAAAGGTGCGGCTCTCCGTAAGGAATGTTTTCACCTGAACTACAACAATATTTAACGTGTGATTTCACACATTATGGCAGGAATCTGCAAAGAATACCTCGACGTATGACATCAGCTTCTGTTTCTGTACTGACGATGGAGAGTTGGTCGTTTTGTTCACCTGTTAAATGTTGGAGCAGACCAAACATTAACAGTTACAGATGAAATCCTTCCAGTGTTCGACAAAATATCTGGAAACAAACATAAAAACCTTAAAATAAAGATATCATGATCATCCTGGTACTGTGTCTCAGTTATTTGATTACTCAATCTGTTTCTATTTACAGTAACTTGCCACAGATTATTGCTGTAATTAAAGACCTGACGTTCCTGAAGGAACGCGCGTCACCTGCTTCCTGCCATCATAATAAACTTGGCGGAGCTCCAGCTGTTTTGGTCAAATTTTGTAAGTAATTTGGTGTCCGAGCTCTTTTAATATCACCAGATTTTGTTCAGTGTGTCAGCGGTCGGAGTGTGTGTAGGTATCACACTTCCAGCTGGTTTGAGACCAGTGTTTATAGAACTGACTGAGTTCAGTGGCAGAGCTACAACTTTTTATTTGGGATTTTAAATCTGAAAATCTCTAAACAAAAGTTTACTTTTGTTCATTTTTACAGGGTATCTGCGGGTCCTTAAAAAGTCTTAAATTTGCTTTTCCAAATTTAAGACCTTAAAAATCCTTAAAAATGACAAATAATCCTTAAATACAGTTTCCAAAGGTCTTAAATTACCAAAGACCCCATAAACAAGATTCTTTTATTTCGATAAAAATTTTGTGATTTTCTAGTTCGTGTTCAGCATTTTTTGTGTACGATGTCGGCGTAAGCGGAACCGTACACATTCAGTTGGTTGTGAAAGGGGGCTATTTTTAGATGAGCACATTAGCTGGTTAAGCTAGTGGGAGCTTGTGCCATGGGAAGTGCAAGTTTAATGGTAACTGGATGGCTAATCCCACGTTTGTGATGTGGTTAGCACCGGTTCCAGGCAATAGCTGGAAATTATAGCTTAAATGAAATTTTTAAAAATTGCTTAAATTTGGTCAAAGTGGCCTTTAAAATGGTCTTTAAAAAGTCTTAAATTTGGTTCCCTTAAACCTGCAGATACCCTGTTTTTAACATTCGGGTAATAAGTGAAAAGAAAAAACAAAAAGCAGATTAAAAAGGTTAGGTTGTATGTTTATTATAATATTAATAAAGACCAAAAAGCTGCTTTTTATACCTCCGCTACTACGATATACAACATCATCTAAATAAATCTTTCTTTTATAGCCCTGCTGCCACTGAACCACACAACCCCTCCTGAAAATAAAAAAATAGCAAATCATGAAGTAAATTTAACCATTTTATTGACTCGATTCCGAATATATAGATGGAATCTAAACATATTTCTTTTGAGGAAAAGGTATTAATACAAAAAATAAATGTTCTGCTAAATAAAAACAGAAATCAAGTTTTAAAATTACTGATTGGACTGATGTCGGCATCTCTTTTAGGGAAACTTACGACTGGCGCGTCCAAAGTGTGGCCTTGGGGCCATCTGTGGCCCTCGGAGCAGTTTTGTGCGGCCCCCACTAGCATTTCTAGAAGGATGGATTTAGTCGCTCCAGCAGGTGTAGAGGGATGCTTTCAAAAATGTTCACATTTTTTAACACTGATATGTCTACTTTAGCTCTATTATTAGGAATCCAAAAATAAATAATGTAATAAAATACATTTAGTATTGTTTAATTATAAAAGTAACGTTGTTGTGGCCCGTGAGAACTAACGACTTATCAGATGGCCTATCTTGAAAAGTTAGGACACCCCTGGCTTAAAGCCGGGCGTACACTGTGCGACTTTTTCACTCGTAGCACTCAGCTTCAGCTCAAACTGTACGACTTCCTCGCAGGGCAGACTCACGAGTCATGCGCTCATACTGCACGACCCAGTTCTCGGATGCAACCTGACTGCTCACGCTGTACGTCTGGTAGCAACACGTCGGCCCTAAAAATATGCTAAAAATAGCAGTTTTTACTCAACACGTCAGACTTTTTTGTCTTGTTTTGCCTGTTGTCCTTCGGGAGTGCTGCAGGAGGACACACAGGGATTTATGGGGGTTGGATGAGGAAAACGAAATAAAGAAAGTAAATCTGTGTTTTGTGATCAGTTTAATTTGACATGAACACGACAAACACGCTTTCTTGACAATCTTTGTGAGTAAAAAAACGTGTAGAAATTAAAACGAACAGCGTGTGTTATTAGGGAAATAGCGGGCGAGCGGTGTTGATGCAGGATTGCGCATGCGCCGTGAGCGGTTCTGATACTTTTTGGGTCGCAGCGCCGCTTCAACAGTGCGATACCCTCACGAGGGACGAGCAAAATATTAAACACGCCAGAAGTCCGTGCGAGCTCACGATTGCTGATCGGTAGCTGGTCACGTGGTGTTAATCGCCTCTCGTAACCCCCTGTACACTACACGACGCTCGGCGCAAAACTCGCCCCGATCTCGTGGATTCTCGCACGAGTGGAAAATCGGCTCAAAAAAGTGAAAAAGTCGCACAGCGTACGCCCGGCTTAAGGTGTGTTCTAAGGACATTAAAGCAGGGGGCAGCTGGGGGGCAGGGCTCTACAGTAAGGCCCCCCCTGTAGATCCACCTCTGACTTACATCCATGTTAACGATAACCTTGACTGGGCTGACTCCGAAGCACCTGCCGGGGTTTTCTCCAGTTGGTGAGTTTACGTCTTCGTGTGGACTTTGGGGAAATCGCTGAGAATCATTGACAGACATGATGATGGACGTCAGTCTGTTTGAGGATGGACTTCGATCAGCGGTGTTCTTCAGCCTGCCGTCCCGAGCAGAAACATTTCCTGGTGGTCAGTGACGTGTTCGGGTCGTGACCTCTGGTTCATGTGCGAGTGTGAAACCTGGGAGGAGATAAGAAGGCAGTGGTGAGCCTCGCTGAGCAAACACTCCTAAAACCTGAGACCTGAGCGGACACACAGACACCACTGCAGGTATGTTCCTCGCTGCTTTAAACTAAACGAGACCATTAAACGTCAATTCAATTTATTATCAGAGATCAGTTTAAAGAGTTGATCGTTTATTAGATGATGCTTATTATGCTAAAAACATCTCCACCTTTCTGTTGTTTCCTGTGTCGTAATCCTCCAGCAGACTGACGTGGTTCAACTCTGTTCTTTAAGAAGACTTTAATAAAGTAGCTGAACTCCTGACCCGTTGAAACAGACGCCACCCTCTAGGACTCAGACCAACATGTGTCGTTTCTGGTGTCAAGAGAATATTTTATGACCTCTAGAAAACATTTAGCAGGTAGTTTTGCAGCAGCTGGAGCTGCAACGGGGAAGAAAAATGTGCCAGAAACCATAAAACTGAGCTTTGACTCTGGGAACGGGCCGCAGCAAACAAGTGTGTGTGTGTGTGTGTGTGTGTGTGTGTGTGTGTGTGTGTGTGTGTGTGTGTGTGTGTGTGTGTGTGTGTGTGCAACCTGTTATTCTGATCCACCGAAGCTAAAGTTAATCATTATTACCTGGTAAAATGAAGCACGCAGAGGTAGGCTGTGATATTGTCTGCACTAATTATTGACTTAGTTACATTTGTGACCCATAATGACTAAAATAGGTGCTTTTCCCCTGAAAAAATAATAAACGAACCCGTGATTTTCTACCAAGTCATGCTTTATAAGAACTTTGCTGTATTTAAATAAGATTACTGCCCCTCTCTTCCTCCTCCTCTGGTTAAACTATAACCAGCTGATGTCATCGTGCTTTTACAGAAATACGAAGTAACCAATAAATCACATTTAAATATTCTTTTCCTGTTTTACTTAAACCGACTTCCTTTTTTGTTCTTTACAGTTTCTGGGCGATCCTAAACAGCTGACATGTGTTGCTCTGGTTTTCTCAAAATTATGATGTTCGTCTTCAACGGCGGCATCTTTGTAAGTTGGACAGAGAATATTTCCTCCTTCCTTTTTCCTCTGATGTTCAGGTTAAGGCCACACAAAGGTTTGTGAGTAAATGAAAGCTTTAAAGTAACTAAGCTGGCGTGCTTGCAGTCCTGAAGTTTGAATTCCTTCAGATAAATGTTTTAAGCTTCAGGAAGTCAGACTCAAGGGGGAAATAAATGTACGTTTTGGTATTTTTGTGCTAAGTTTCTATTTTAGGGAATGAGATTTATCTTCTATGTGAAAAACAGAAATGATGATTGTGGTTAAGTATTTTATAGAGTCCTTTTACCATCTAAAAACTATCCATTTATCCTTTTTTCTGCTACTTATTCCTCCTGTTTTGTTTGTGTTTTTCCTTAAATCTTTTAAATAGTGGAAAAACCCATGGAGGTTAGAAACCCTAACCAACAGCAGCTGCTTTAGTTTTATTTCGCTATGCAAAAGCTGGATTTGATTTTCTTCTGTGATTTCAGTTTATTTCTGAAAGTCAAACAGCAACGTAGCATTTTTTTAACTCAGGACTTCAAAAGAAGCGCTGTTCTGGTCCCAGCTCACATTAAACGCTACATAAACGGGTACCTGCTGGTGCGTTTCTAATAAAACACGTAGAGATGGATTATAGTCACATGAAAAGAGACACGCAATATTTATTTACTCTTTTTGGGTCTTAAAGATTGTCTTTGCTGCAGTTCAGAGTTAATTTAGCTCATTTATTTCCTGCAGAACGAGAGTTGCTGCTCAGTTGCTTCAGTCTTTTTTTTGCTTAGCATCTCAAGGAAAACGTTTAAATAAATAAAGTGAAAGATTAATGTACAAAATATTCTCTTAGTCGTTAAACCCCACAGAGATGCTTTTTAGGAGTGCTGTGGTAACCAGAAGATACATAATTATTCCTAGATATCTCTTTAAACAGCCTTACCTTGGTGAAACACAGATCAGTTTTCAGCAGATTGATGAGCTAAAGGCTAGTCACAGGGGCACCAGTTATACACAATCAGATGTTTGTATTTGAATAAAATTCTCTGGTTGTTTGCAGTGTTGGCAGTAACGGTGTTTAAGTAGGAATTTAGAATCCCTGGAAACCCAAGGTGGCCTTTTAAACATCGGATATCTATACTTCCATTGTTCCTAGTAGAATGCAACATTCCAGATATCCAGAACATTCTTACAGAATGGTCATCCCATAGTAAGAATCATGCAGTAAAAAGATATTTCACGTTATAGATCATAAAAGTAATGTCACAGTTACTTTGGGTAACTAATTACTTTTACAACATGGTAACTAAGTTATTACCATATTTTCTGGAGTACAAGTCGCACCAGCCATAACATGTATAATGAAGAAAAAAAACATGTAAGTCACATTTTGGGGGGAAAATTTTTTATTTTTCTTCCAAAATCTGAGGCCAAGCGTTTCACGTTGAAAGACAAGTACCGGTAACAATAACAGAATAAACAACCAGGGCGCAGCAGAGCACCACGGTCTCCAGCAGAGGATGGCAGTGTTTCAAACCCTCTCAACGGGACAGGGGAGCTCATTCCTGGGTCTGAGCCGCCTGGCCCGCAGCAGCGCGCCACAGGCTCCAGCAGGGGGTGGCGGGGCAGAGGAGCTGAAACCTGAACCAAAGCCGGTCCACAGCAGCGCGGTATAGCCTACATAATTTGGTATATAAGTCGCTCCGGAGTATAAGTCGCAGGACCAGCCAGGCTATGAAAAAAAGTGCGACTTGTAGTCCGGAAAATACGGTAACTCAATTACTTTTTGGAAAAAGTAATTTGTAACAACAACTAATGACTTTTTTAACGTAAGATGCCCAAAGCTGGTTATTTGTGTCCAAGTTAGCCTTGAAGCTAACTACTATAGCTGTGCTGGAATTGCTTTTAAAGGTGTGAAACGCTGAAAAAACATTTTTAATGATTATTTCTGATTTTATCCAGTCACTCTTAAGCCTGGGACACACCGGAGGTGGGCGCGCCGCGCAACGTCGCGCCCGAGATTTTGAGAAGTCAAGTGGTCACACAGGACGCGCCGCGCCGCTGAGCGCTTCTTATAAAGTCGCACGATAGTCACAACATCACGCGGGATGGGAAGTGACTCTATTGTTTATACGTGATCAGACTTACCGTCGTGTTTTGTGAGACTCAAATTCATAAAAAAAAGCATAAGTACTCTATTTATTTAAATATTTTAAGATCAGTAGTACTTTAAAGTAATCAAAGCTGCAGCTGGGTTTGTGCTGTAAAGCCGTTCCGCGTCTTGGTGACCCATAATGACTAAAATAGGTGTTTTTCCCCTGAAATTAATAATAAATGAACCTGTGATTTTCTACCAAGTCATGTTTTATAAGAACTTTGCCGTATTTAAATAAGATTACTGCCCCTCTCTTCCTCCTCCTCTGGTTAAACTATAACCAGAGGAGCCCTGGTTATCCTGTGCCACCGCCGGGGCGACGGTGGCACAGGAGTTAAGTGCTCGCCCCGTAATCGGAAGGTTGCAGGTTTGAGCCCCGCTCAGTCTGTCGCTGTCGTTGTGTCCTTGGGCAAGACACAACCCAGCTTGCCTGCTGGTGGTGGTCGGAGGGACCGGTGGCGCCAGTGCTTGGCAGCCTCGCCTCTGTCAGTGCGCCCCAGGGCAGCTGTGGCTACATCATAGCTCATCACCACCAGTGTGTGAATGCGTGTGTGAATGGGTGAATGACTGATTGTGTTGTAAAGCGCCTTGGGGGGTTCCAGGACTCTAGAAGGCGCTATATCAAATACAGGCCATTTACCATTTAATGTCTCTTGTAAAGTACTCCACAATGTCGTAAACAGCCGCGGCGCTTGAGATGGAACCGGCGCCTATCTTCAGCGCCTAGGCGCGGCGCTCCCTGTGTGTCCACTCTCATTAACTATAATGGCTTCTATTTAAAATGACGGCGCGGCGTGCCGGCCTCCGGTGTGCCCCAGGCTTTAGTGTTTCATGCAGGCTGAACATGAAAAAAGTCTCCTACACCTGTCTCCTGCTTTAGCTTCTGATAGAAAATAGACTCTAGAGTAGAAAATCCTGACAGATCTACGTCGCACTGTCACTTAACTGTTGATGGGTTCACCCATCTTGACTCACGACAGGGAAGGCTGTTGTTGGTTTAGCGTCCAGGAAACAGCAGAGGAGGTCTCGGCTAGGTTAAGCTAACCGTTAGCATTAGCAACTTCACCACACGGCAGAAGCTCCTCCAGGCTTGTGTTTTTTATGGAGATAAAACATCGATGTTGCAAGTCAGTGGCAGAGGTGCGTTGCTGTTATCGTTTCTGAGGCAAGTTGTCCAAATATCAGGAAATAAGACTCCACAACCTGCCGTCTGAAGCTCAGCAGTGATGTGGGTGTCTTTTAGGTACTAAACCAGATGAAACCAACTCGTTTTTATAGATGCGGTGTTTAATTGAGAGGCGGGGCCTTCCTGACCTTCTGTTGCAGCTGGCAGGTGCAGCCATCCTGGGTGTGGGCGTGTGGGTGAAGGTGGACAGCGGGTCTCTGTTCGGGTTACTGGAGCAAGTGGAAGACGCTCCGGATGGATTATCCCAACTGGTCAACGTCAGCTACCTGCTGATCGGTGTGGGCGCGGCGCTTCTGGTCATCGGCTTTCTGGGGTGCTGTGGAGCCATCAGGGAGAGCAGGTGCATGCTGATGACGGTGGGTCGGATCCATGACATCACAGATAGTCTCTGATAATGTTTGTGGTTATTTAGGTCAGTAGGCTCTGTAGATTATAGAAACCTCACATTGTCATAATTCCTCTGCTTTTACCTGCATTACTGTTTATTTATGTTACGCTGTTTTTATGCTTTACTGTTATAAACAGTTATCATTATCATGTGACTGTAGTATTTAAAGCTTTTTTGTTTTATAAAACATTAAAATCAGAGAAAATCACCCGGAATAAAGGTGTGAATGTAGATAAGGTAATCTGCTGAGTAATGGTTTTATGAGGATTGTACTGCCACCTGTTTCACAACCTGAGCTTTACAGCTGGACTTATCGTTGTCTCCTGCAGTTCTTCTGCATCGTGCTGATTATCTTCCTGGCTGAGGTTGCAGGCGCCATAGTTCTGCTCGTCTTCCAGGATGTGGTGAGACTCTGGACTCCATAACCGACAAGAAGCCGTTACATTTCTCTTGAGTTTAATTGTGTGTGTGTGTGTGTGTGTGTGTGTGTGTGTGTGTGTGTGTGTGTGTGTGCGTGTGTGCGTGCGTGCGTGTTCTCTCTCAGGCTCATCAGCTTCTGGATGATGTGGAGGATAAAGTGATAGCGAGCATTCGAAAGAGTTTTGGAGAGGAGAACAGCATGACGTCTCTCTGGAACGCCACCATGGAGGAGGTGATTTATCACAGCAAAAACAAACACATTATTATTATTATTATTGTTATGATTGTTGTTGTTCTCTATCACTCCATATGTGCCCATGCGCACGTTGAGGTCGGCTGACCTTTTGCTGCTGTACACGCCGCGGATGAGACTCAAATCGCGGGGGGATCAAGCATTTGTCCATGCTGCCCCAAAGCTGGAACTCATTGCCCATTGGAGTTCGGCAGGCTCCATCTCTGGCGGTTTTTAAATCTCGTTTAAAGACCCACTTTTACACTTTGGCTTTTAGACAGTGACTCGTTTTAGTGTTTCATTGTATCATTGTTTTAATGTGTTTTTAGTATTCATCATGGTTTATCTGCCTTTGATTGAGATTTTTATCCTCTGTTTTAGCTCCTTGTAATGGTTGTGTTTTGTTTTAGCCTGTGCAGCACTTTGGGCAGCTCCCATGCTGCATTTTAAACGTGCTATATAAATAAACTATGCTATGCTATCAGAGAATAACCATAGATGAGTGTTTGTGTTCTTATTACAGTTTAAATGCTGTGGATACAGGAACTACACAGACTTTATTGGGTCTCCTTTCTACCACGTGCACAGTGGTGAGCTCTACCCCCCCAACTGCTGCTGGACAAATGTCACTGTGGGAGATTGTAAAACAGACAAAGCTGAGGCGGCGGTATGAGACCAGCAGCTTGTTGTTGTTTAGTCCTCATGAACCTGGAGAGCTAAGCATCCTGGTTGTTTCTCCTCCAGATGGTCGAAGGCTGCTTTAAAAAGTTCCTGGAGCTGATCGAGCAGAACGCTGTGATCATTGCTGGTGTGGCTTTGGGGATCGCTGCTCTGGAGGTAAAATGCTTTTGTCTCACAACTAAAACCAGTTTATACTGGATTAAATGTGTAGTTATTCAGTTATTACTGTGTGTTCTTAGACCTGCAGCTAATAAAACCAGGTTTTTTATATTCTTACTCTTTTTGAATAGAAACAAACGTAAAGTCAAGGATTTAGTTATATCAAAAAATGGTTCAAATTAATTATTAAAAGCTTTTAAACATGGTCTGAATGATGTTTCAGGTGAAAAATAATCATTATTTAGTAAGATCCTTCTCACAGAGCTAGTGTGTTTATATCCAATATCAAATACAGACCATAACCACGTTCAGTTACAGAAAATGAGTTTGTTCCAGTAATCAAGTTCTCAGAAGGACTGGAAACATACTATTGCTGTTTTAAAAAGGCAAATAATTATTTATTTCATATTTGATTCATGAGTTTTTGACTGAGACTTTATTATTAAAGGAGTATTATTATTATTATTATCATTATTGTTATCATTATAATCATTATTATTATTGTTATCATTATCATTATTATTATTATTATTATTGTTGTTATTATTATTATCATTATTATTATTATTATCATTATTGTTATCATTATAATCATTATTATTATTGTTATCATTATTATCATTATTATTGTTATTATTATTATTATTGTTATTATTATTATCATTATTATTATTATTATTATTATTATCATCATTATTATTATCATCATTATTACTATTATTATCATTATTGTTATATTATTATCATTATTATTATTAGCAGTATTATTAGTATTATCATTATTATTATTATCATTATTATTATTATTATCATTATTATTATTATTATTATTATTATTATTATCATCATCATATTATCATTATCATTATTATTATTATTATTATTATCATCATCATATTATCATTATCATTATTATTATTGTTATTATTATTATCATTATTATTATTATTATTATCATATTATCATTATTATTATTGTTATTATTATTATCATCAGTATTATTATTATTATTATTATTATTATTATTAATAATTCAAATATCCCTGATGTTGTGATTGTTTTTTAGATCTTATATTGCTGGATTTAAATCACTAACTTTCTCACACGCCAGTAGATTTACCTGAGTTATGATCATTTATACCTCATAAATACGCTGGTTATAAAACATAAATAATGTAAAAACAGTCGACCGTGTTCAAATGTATTCGTTTAACTTTCCTTCTTAACAGGTTGCCGCCATGGTGGTTTCAATGATTCTCTACAAGAAGGTTGGCAGCAAGGCATGATGATTCCTCAGGATGATACGAATGAACTGATGAAGTGCGATGAAGAGGAGTAAAAGTTAAAGTTTAATTTGATTTAACGGGCAGAGTTTATGAAGATAAGCCACAGAAGACTAGATGTTATATAAAATTGACACTTTATTTTTATATAACAGGTATTTCTGTTTTTATTGTGATTTATTTAAGCTTACTGAAGAGTTTTATGTGCTGAAGCGTTTACTGACGTCATGATGCTCCGTCTGCTGGTCGTTCTTTAGTCACCTGCCCTGCCCTAATGAAACACGTTTATTTTTTTATGTTAGATCCTGTTATGAGCGGTAAACTGACTTGTATATTTTGCACCGTTTTGTTGAGTGTTTTGGGATGTTTTCCTGTGATAAGCATGTACCAAGTGCTTCTAGAATAAAGAATAAAATGGGATAAATCCATTCCTGTTGTACTTTGAGTCTGATGTTGCTCAAGAAAAATAATGACTAGCGTTGCTCAGTAAAGACCAAACCTCATTACAAGTTCTCAACTCATTTGGTGAATGTAATGCATAACCGCTTTATTAAGTTCACTCTTTCCCGTAATGGCAGAATGAAATATCCCAGGAAAAGAAGAGTGTTTTTAATGAGTTTTATTAACTGAATTCCTTTTGTTCAGGAAAATAAAACACTTGAGGAACTTATTCCAGTTTTCCAGGTTGTTTCGAGTCACTGACTGTTGTCCGAGTCTTTACAGCAGGAGTGGGCAACCCTGGTCCTTGAGAGCCGGTGTCCTGCATGTCTTTGCTCCAACACTTCTGATTCAGTCGTTGATTCACCTGTTCTGCAGCTCATCAGGCTCTGCAGAAGCCTGTTAATCACCTGCTGATTGAAATCAGGTGTGATGATGCAGGGTTGAAACTAAAATATGCTGGATAGCGGCCCTCGATGGACCAGGGTTCCCCACCCCTGCTTTACAGCAGTCCTCATACTAAGCAAGCATGCAGCGACAGTGGAGAAGAAAACTCCCTTTTAACAGGAAGAAACCTCCAGAGGATCCTGGCTCAGTATGAGCAGCCATCCGCCACCCACACACACACAACATATATACCAAGATGTATTTCTATGGCTACATTGTGATTTCCAAGTAAATATTCTATTTAGAAATAGATACATTTTGTTGTCTTTATCTTAATCCTAGTGAATCAATAATTAATTCAACGGGTAAACTAGTAGTAGCACATTCAATGTCAAAGACAGTAAAATGTTATCAGGAGAGGGAGAATGTTTAAGTGGTTAGCAACAATGTTCAAGCTGATGGCCCCCTCCATGAAGACCCCACAGCTCAGTAGAACATCATTGTAGCTTCTTCTGGGGAGAAAAAATGAACAGCTGAAATAGCAGGAAATAATGCGGTTACAGAGTAGTGGTGAATGAAAGTAGTAGAGTGTGGAAAGTGGTCAGTATGTCTTCCAGCAATCTAAGCCTATAGCAGCATAACTACAGAGATAACTCTGGATAGCCTAGCCTTTTAGATGGAGGCAGGGTAAGGGAAAGCCGTCTTTACCGACTGTACACTCCACCTCCCTCTACTCCCCCACTTGTCCTGATCTAGGCTAACATCAGAATTTAATCATAGGCCCTATCAAATAAAAACATTTTAAGCCTATTCTTAAAAGTAGACAAGGTGTCTGCCTCACGGACTAAAGCTGGGAGCTGGTTCCACAGGAGAGGAGCCTGATAACTAAAAGATCTGCCTCCCATCCTAAGTTTAGATATTCTGGGAACCACCAGTAAACCTGCAGTCTGAGAGCGAAGTGCTCGGTTAGGAACATATGGAACAATCAGATTACTGATGTATGATGGAGCTTGATTATTAAGAGCTTTATATGTGAGAAGAAGGATCTTAAAATCTATTCTGAATTTAACAGGTAGCCAATGTAGGGAAGCTAAGACAGGAGAGACATGATCTCTCTTTTTAATTCTCATCAGAACTCTAACTGCAGCATTTTGGACAAGCTGAAGACTTTTAACTACATTCTGTGGACTTCCTGAGAGTAATGAATTACAGTAATCCAGTCTTGATGTAATAAATGCATAAACTAGTTTTTCAGCGTCACTCCTGGAAAGGATGCTTCTGATCTTAGCAATATTCCAGAGGTGGAAGAAGGAAATCCAACAAACCTGTTTAACGTGGGATTTGAATGACATGTCCTGGTCAAAGATAACACCAAGGTTCCTTACTTTGTTCTCAGAGGCTAGTTTATTGCTCATTTTAAGCAGAAATAAACAAGAATAAAAATAATGATGATGAAAGACTTGAAAAGCGATATCGCCCTCTGCTGCCCGCGGATAAAAGGAAGTGACGCCACCAACATCCGGCGGTTGCTCTCAAGAAGGCAGCAGTGAAACTGTCTGTTGTTGCGCAGGGAGACGAGCTAGGGGAAAGACAACCGGCACCGATGGTCTGCAGGTCTGAGACATTATTCAGCCTCACTTGCTATTTCCTGTCTATCAGGAAGTCAGTGTATGTCATGTAATTATTAAGAGAGAACAATTTCTACTAGCAGATTCTGTTTAATAATTACCTTATCGGATCCTAGATGACATGAGCCCTTTTTATAAGACACATCGTGCCGGCAAATCAGCGTACTGTTACCGCAACGGTGTGTCTTATAAACGCACCATGCCGGCATGGAGATGCACGCATTCAGCAGCATTCGTTCCTCCCGTTCCTTTATATGTCGATGGTTCCTCATCGCTTCATAGTAACGCCGGGGACACACCGGTCGCGGAAGCGCCGAGAAGCATATCGCTCACGAAATTCGGCCGCTGCTCGCCGCTCCTCAGTTCAGATCAGACGCGCCCCAGTCGAGGCGCGCCTCGGCTCAGCTGTAGTTTTTCTTTTAAACACTTGGTGTCCTCCATTTCCTCTCTGCCTTTTCTCAGCTCTTTTCCTCTACGTTTGAGTGTTTGTACGTGTGTGTGTGTGTGAACCTATGGTATGAACCAGTTGTTTCTGCCAGTTGAATCTCTTGGAACCTGCTCCAATTCTGCAGCTGTATCCTAGCAGTTTCTTCCGACATGGGTACGTAAATAATCATGTTTTTCGGGGGTCGTACAGCTCCTTGTGTTTCTCAACATCCATTATTAATTTAAAGTCATCCATCTTAACTGCTTGCCTCAGACTTTCTGCCTCTCTGTCCTGTTTGCTCCGGAAAAAAGACACCCAAAACCACACCTCCCTTCACGTGGTCACACACGCACACAAGTTCGATGTGTGTATGTGTGTGTGTGTGTTTGTGTGGTTTTTCTGCAGTGTCTACATTACGAACACATTTGACTATTGCGAAATTTTATTTTGAAATGCTTTATTTTGTTAAATTTACCGGCCTGCCTCTTATGTGTATGACTTCCTGCCAGAATTGACATGATTCATCCGCGGCTCGCGAAAAAATAGAGCAGACGCCAAAATGATCGCTGTACGGCGCGGTATGGAGCGCCGGCGCGCGGCACTTCGGCGGCCCATGTGGTCTATAGAATAGCTTAACCAGGGCGCTGAATGAAGGCGGTCCCATTTTCGTGGCGCTTCCGCGGCCAGTGTGTCCCCGGCGTGATATTGCGGTAATTGCACCTTGGCGCAACAGAGGGAGGTATCATGATCATATGGGGAGTTACTGCAAAATAAAACCGTAACAACAACCGTTAGTGGAAAGCCTCCACCTGGAAAACAATGACTGACACATCATGCGGCCGTCAGAAGGATGTTGGTTTGTTTAAAGGGGTCAAGATCATTGGCATCAAGCACATAAACATCTAAGGAGATTGCAGAAATCAATACAAGTGGGTTAAGAACTGTCCAGTGGTCTTAGAGGAAGAACTGTGGTCGTAAAAAAAGTCCTGAGTGATTGTAGATGGCATTGGTGAAACCAAACAACAGCGTAACAGTTTCATAGTGAAAGTAAGATCACTTCCTGGTGCACAGAGTAATTGGGACTGAACAGCTGTGCAGCCACAAGTGAGTCAGAGCTGAGAAAAGGGATTTAGTTTGCAAGGTTGGACTCTGGAACAACAGAAGTCAGGTGGTCTGATGGGTCCAGACTGGTGAGTGGATCAGGCAAAGACGAGAGGCCACAGGCCTGTGGGGCAGTCTATCATCTGGGGTTGCTGCAGATGGTCAGGCCTACGTTCAGTAATGTTATGAGCCCAAACCATGAGGTCAGCTGAATTTACTGAGTGACCAGACTGTTCCGTCCATCATATTTCCCCCCGATGGTCCACGTGTGTTCCATGGTGACAATGTCAGGATTAACTGAGCTCAAATTGTGGAAAAGTAATTCAGAGAGTCTGAGAAATCATCCGGTCTTAACCCCATTCACAACCTTTGGGAAGGTTTATTTATGAGAATTTAACATTTCTATTGATAACCTTTTTTTATATACATTTCATGTCTTCTAATGGTGCATTAATCACTCATCTATTTGGGGTTTATTCATTCATAATTCTGGGAAATGAGGACAGAACTCCATCCACATTTGTGTGTTAGTTTTAGCCAATTAGACCACTTAGCAGCAGTTGTGAGGCTGGATCTCAGCATTAAATAACCAACAGCTGGTTCACTGCATGAGGGATGAAACCTGATCAGCTCGCTCCAGCCATATGGTCCCAACAGCTTTAATTCACTCTCTGCCATGTAAGGTTAATCACATTTGATGCTTTTTCATTTAAATTCTACATGCTCAGTTGCGTGGAACGGCGTGTGTTTGGCACGCGTGTGCGTTTTGATGAGCTCTGGTTAATAAAGTTTAATGTGTGCCGGCTGCTGAAGCACCAAGTGCAGTCGCCACACACCATGAAGGAGGGCCAGAGCCTCCTCGTGATCTAAAAACACTTCAGCCTTCAGTTGGACTGTCCCAGGTGTGTGGACGGAGACAAAGATCTGAACAGGAACGTCTCAGATGTAAACATGAGCTTGGTTGTGGTTTTTATTCCATCACTCCTGAACAAGACACCAATATTCCTGAGCTCATCCACCTGAGGAAAAGCCTAATTCCCAACCAGGAGGGAATCTTCCACACTTATCTTGGTGTCCCCCCGGCAAAGAGACCTCTGAGCTTCCCAAACCAGACACCCTCCAGTCCATGACTGGGATCAGAGACATCTCCTGGATTCAGGCTTTAGTTCACTGACTCGTGATGACATCAGATGCTGTACACACACACACACACACACACACACACACACACACACACACACACACACGCACACACACACACACACATGCAGACACACTAACACACATACACACATTCACACACACACCTGCACACATGCAGACGCACTAACACACATATGCACCCCCCCCACACACACACACACACACACACACCTGCACACACATGCAGACACACTAACACACATATGCACCTACACACACATACACACACACCTGCACACATGCAGACACACTAACACACATATGCACCTACACACACATACACACACACACACACCTGCACACATGCAGACACACTAACACACATATGCACCCCCCCCCCTACACACACACACACCTGCACACACATGCAGACACACTAACACACATATGCACCTACACACACACACCTGCACACATGCAGACACACTAATACACATACGCCCCCCCCACACACACACAAACTCACCTGCACATATGCAGACACACTAACATAGACATGCACCTACACACACACACACACACCTGCACACATGCAGACACACTAACACACATATGCACCGACACACACACTCACACACACACACACACACACACACACACACACTCACACACACACACTAACACACACACCTGCACACACACACACACACACACATGCAGACACACTAACACACATGTGCACACACACACACACACACACACACACACACACACACACACACACACACACACACACACACACATACACACACACACATGCGCACAGACTGACTCATAAAGTCATCCATTAACTGGACTCAGTCACCAGTTTGATGGCAGCAGACTGGCGGATGAACCTGCTTTTGTTCCTTTTACATAGTTTCTATGGTTCCACTGACCACGTGAGGACGTCATGTGAACAAACGGCTGTAAACCTGACTCAGCTGCTTCTCAGCTCAGTGTGTCTCTTTCTGAAAGTATGAGTATATCTGCTGCCTCTGTTTAAAATTTCCATCAGTCATGATTTCAATAAAGCATTTTAGTGTATTTGTTTATTTTTAAATTGTGCAAGAGAAACCTTTACATTTGATTCTGCATCTACCCGTGAATCAGCTGTAGAACGAGACTATTATTTTTAAATGGCGCCCTCTTGTGGACGATACAACAAACCTGCAACAGCAGGATGATCTGCCCGCCAACCTCCTGACAGCACCTACCAGGAATCTGCGTGTTATTTTTATCAGTATTAGTAGAAAAGTTGTGGCTGTGCACAAGAAGTGTAAATATTACTGTAAATACTGCAGAACTACATCTTTTCTTTCACATCAATGTGGAAAAAATAGCCAAAGAAGTTGCCCAGTAGGCAACACTAAAGCACCAAGCTGCTCCTTGAAGCCTGTTTGTGAATTCTGTTGATGCTTGTTTAGTAATAAAGTGCTTCTGCATGTTTTTACTACAAGAAACTTTTTAATGACATTTTTTTCTGTTTTTATGCGAATAGGAGGTTTCATGAAGTCTTGGTGAATTCCTGGTGATGAAGTGATTAAAATCAGGCTGTTTGTATTATTTTGAAGGAGCATTACTAGAACCATCCTTTGATTTAGTCAACTTAACGATTCTAAGGTTCTTGTCATTTTGCTCATAGCTGGAGCCACATCAGAGCAGCAGGTTGAAAACTGTAAACAATTAAATGAACTATTTAGTAAAAATAAGCTGAAACGGGTTTCCCTTGTTTTAGTCTGGCTTCGTTTCACAGTTTAATCTTTTGGAAACAGAGGAAGGGAAGAGGAGGAGCGCTCCTGGCCCCCCCAGGTGTGTATTTATGACAAAGTCAAACAGTCCTGGTGTAAAACTGTCAGCCAGCGTGTGATCAGGTCACGGGTAACGCAGCACAATCGAGTCTAATGGCATAATGATGGGATGTCAGGGGAGAGGCTCCCAAGCTGCTGGTGGGAATTCATTCACAGGACGCAGCTTGTTTACACCAGGAGAATAAACTCATTATGGCTTTACAATCCAAGCTAACACCATTACCTGCCTAACGGGGAGCATTGTTAACCGCAGCCCTCTGAGGATGCTGGCGCCCTCAGAGAAACCGTCTGTTTTTAATCTGGGGTTAAATAAAGGAATTCAGTGTGTGATGTCATGTATTTATACAGCAGATTAAAACACACACACACACAATGTGTGTTTCAGGTGCAAGAAAAACAGTGACAACACAACACAGTAAATATCAAAATCTAAATTAAAATAGACAAAAGAACAACGTTGAAGCCTGATCAGTTACGGAGCAGAAAGCAGATTAAAGCATCAAACGTTTCACTTTAGATTCAAACAAAGAGCTGGAGCATGTTTAAAGTTCATCCTTTTGGTTATTCTCACAAATCCTGAGTAAAAATAACACATTTTAAACAATGCTATATAATTAATCAAACAAGGATGTAATTTTCACTTTAGAAGTGGGGGGGACACGGGGGGGGGGGGGTCTTTACAGTATGCTCCAATGGGAAACAGGCTTCAACACAAACGGTTGTTTTCCGCTTGGTCCTAGAGCTCAACCAGTGTCAATTTAATATAGCGTAATATTGTTTTTGGATGGTAAAATGTGCAGGGGTCAAAACTTGACTTTGGAAAATGTGGGGGGGACATGTCCCCCCTGTCCCCCCCAAAAATTACGTCCATGGAATCAAATATGCTCATAATTTCATATCGTTGAACAAATAGTTTGACTATCATAAGGGAGAATGGCGCTAATCAGGATAACAAACAACAACACTGTGAAGACTGAATGCCTCGTGTTTATGGAGTGTTGTCCTGGGTCTTTTACAAACTACTTTCATGAATCGATCCAGATTTGATGCAGGTGTGTCCAAAGTGTGGCCCCGGGGCCGTTTTTAGGCCTCTGAGTGATTTTTGTGGCCCCCGTGTTGCTTTTCTAGAACAGAGAATTGTCTCTCCTGTACTCTTCTGACATTGATCCACTGTTTCCAATGCTTTTGATGTATTTTCTGCGTTTTTTTAGAAACGTACAAATAAAAATGACAAGAAATAACTCTTCCATTAAAAACGTCCCATCTTTGCAACGACTGACGGTTTTGGTGGTCCTCTGTAAAAGTTCTGGACGCCTCCGCTCCGGACCCTTCTCTAACTGTTTTATGACTGCTCCTTTCTCGGCAGTCGTTTTAAAATGACGACCGCTTCACGGCGTGGACGTGTGAGCTCCGTGTGATGTCTGAGCGGCTGTGGGAATTGTGACACCTTCCTTTAGTTAAAACACAGGTGAGAGCCGGAAGCTTCCGTATAAAACTCCTCTCTCCACCTGATGAGGTTCAGACTGCAGGGTTGCCTCTCGGGACCTTGGACCTGTTTGTTCTTTAGTTTCATTTAGTAAATGATACCTAAAATCTTGAATTATTTAGCACGTTTAGAAAAATAATTGCATTATTTTTGTCATATGATGGCCTTTTTCGGCAGCTTGATCTTTTTGCTGAGCTGCATCAGCGTCACTGCGACACTTTCTTTTAGGTCTCTTGTGAAGAAGTCAGGAGATGTGTTGGAGTCCTCTGGAGCTGGACCCGATGGACCCCTACAGGGAGTAGTTAAGGTTCTGCAGCTGGACCCCCATGCCCTGGCCCAGTCTGGGTTCCTCAGACGAGGACTGGCCAACAGGAGAGCCCTTACGCGCGTCTCCAGGCTGCCCTTCCCATCGTTCCTGTCTCTGGGCCGTCCGGGCCAGCCCCCAGCTCCCAGAGGTCCTGCAAGTCCACCACTCAGCCTGCGTCCGAGAGGACGTGTGGAGACAGAGCTGAAGAAGATGCAAGGGCGGCAGATGTGGCAGAGCGTCCTTAATAAAGGAGACAAGACATCCCTGCCGGTCAACTTAAAGGACGCTAAACAAACGTGCACAGCAGTGCCGTTCACTCAGGTAGGTTGTTTTATATAATTCCACCTTAAAACACAAGTGTTAGGAATTCTTTGCCCAGCTGACATTCTATAAAAGTGTTTATGTTCTGTAATAATTAGAGATGTGTGTTTGTCCCCCTAACTCACCCCTCCCTCTCCTCCCAGCGTGTGACGGCGGACGGATGCCAAACGGTCACGGTGCGCAACCGGCTGTGCTTCGGTCAGTGCAGCTCCCTCTTCGTCCCGTCGGAGGCGGAGTTTGCTGAGCTGATCCCTGTGGTGGGAGCCTTTCGCCGCCGAGGCCCCTGCTCCCGCTGCGCCCCTTCCAAGTCCCAGACCGTCACCGTGCCTCTGCTGTGCGGAGCCCACGTCCGCCAGAAACGAGTGATGGTGGTGGAGGAGTGCAAGTGTGAGACGGGCCGGGAGGAGAGGAGCATGGAGGCTGCAGCTAGCTCCCACCTGTAGCATCAGCTTTACTTTTCATGAACTTTCTTTATATTATTCCAGTCTGAATGCTTCATTCAGAGTTAAGCACTCCGGTGGTTCATCCCACCGTCGATTACTGACAAGAACCCTGCGTTTTGGTTCTGCTTTTTGTGATTTTTAAACGGCTAAAGCTGTAAAAACAGAACTTTTTAAGTAATGTCACCATTAAAACCTCCTTTATCCCCACTTACCTTTTGCCTGGCCTCGCTCATTAGTGTCCCTGCGACGCCGCCGGGTTCACAAACGCCATTTGTGTTGCACAAAGAGAATTAGTTTGGTTTTTTGGGCCGTTTTTTTACCCGCCCACTCTCATTTTCAAACATTCAAGCGTTAGCTCCTATGTTTTATTAAAAAGACATGTTCCTCCGACTTTTACCACGCAGCACTTACATGTGAGAGCGCCCGACTGGAGAGCTAACGAGCTATTGAGCGCGGGTACTTAGCGGTGAGCAAACATAATTGTTTCAGCATGGACTCCTGAATTATGTATAGGCGCCACCTATTCTCATGCCCCACGTCTTTTCAGAGTGGTTGTGGGAATTTGAACATCCTTCAACACAGATGCACTTGAGCAAGCATACGCGTGTGTGTGTGTGTGTGTGTGTGTGTGTGTGTGTGTGTGTGTTTCAGTTGAGGCCTGTAAAACCTATTATTCATTTATACCATGGCACCTGGGTCTGGTAAAGTGAACTCATCCCACACATCCCGACATACATTCCCAGAGGAGCATAAAGAAGGAGGCTCTTTACGTTTCCTTGGCATGCTGTCAAAATGGCTGCTTAGACGGCCATTTGCATTCACGTGTGTTTTTTTTTTTTTTTAATTTTTTTTTTTAGGTGAAAGCGTTCATCTCACTACAGGGGGCTCGCATTGAGTCCTGTGAATTCCATTAGCATGTGATTAGCATCTCGGGTTGATGGCTATATTTTCCAAGATTGATGGGACAAATATTTGCCCAAGTCTTAACTGGGAAGATTTAGGGGGGCCCCTTTTAATCAGGCACTTGTGGGTTTGGGGCATGAGAGGCCACTCTGTTTTCCTCACACTCATCAACAGAATGCAAAACGCAGCTTCTGGGTAACGCAAGTTTTTTATGAGCGATGATGATGTCAGCAAAGGAAGTGTACGTTCTCACAAAGCCCTGGCATTCTCATGTTTACTTTGTAAAAATAATCCATAAAAGGATTTAAAAGAGTGCATTATGGAGGGAGACGAAGAGGACGTGAGTGACTGTTGATTGAACAAACAAGCTGCACTACTTAGCCAGACAGATGTTAACCCCCGTCACGTTGTGGGATCCGGCGGAGCGCTCCTGCGTCGTTAAGGATGGCCTGGTTCCCATGGCGAGGGGGTGGAGGAGGAAGGAGCACAAGAAGAAGGGCCCGGTGCCAAGTTCAGCGCCTCGGGGATCAGATCAGCGTCGCAGGGTGCTAAGTGGCCTAGTTAGCGCTTTAAAACGCACAATGAGCTGCCTGCTCTTTCACTGTGCATGTAAGCCTTTTAACTGTCAGAGCAGCGTGGGACAAGGGCACTCGGGTAATATCGGCTCAGTCGAGCAGTTCTACTTTAAAAATGTTTCATGAGTCCGAGCTGTGTGTTTGTTTGCGTTTAAATCTGTGGTTAAGTTCTCCAAACAGCTCTAAGCTAACGTAGCAGCTGAGCGGCGTGCGGGATAAGATTCCAGATTTGGTCGGTCACTTGGGTCTCCTGTGGAGCTAAACCTTCATGATTCCGTAGACCAGACTGGACCGCAGATCTGGCACCAGCACAGAGGGCTAACAGAGGTGATGGGGGTATGTCAGGATGAAAATTTGCAAGTATCCTGAAAGCCTGTTCAGTTGCAGGCCAGACAGGAAGTTCTCACCTAAATCCCAGCAGTACGGGTGTGCGACTGTAGGTGTCAGGCTCTTGGTGAGAGGTTGTCTGTTCCACGCTCTGCCTCCTCCCTGATGCGGTGGTACGTACTCACTGTGTGCTGTTGGTCTGGACCAGCTGGTCGGAGTTGGCTCTGCTAGAGATGGTGCCCCGGGCTAAGCCTGCCAGCCTCCTGCCATCCTGCCTGGATGCCAGCCCACCTGCCAGGCTGTCTGCTGGGTTCTGGGGAGAACAAAGATAGGTGTAGCCCCATCTACATCAAAGTTTGTCATCAGATAAAATCCTCCCATATTTTCAGGAGTGGCTACCACCAAGCTGCAGACAGAAACACAACTTTTAGAGTAATGTGCATGTGTGTTAATGTGTGTGTGTGTGTGTGTGTGTGTGTGTGTGTGTGTGTGTGTGTGTGTGTGTGTGTGTGTGTGTGTGTGTGTGACTTTGACAGATGAGCCATTAGGACAACAGACAAGAGTCCTGCAGGTCTGCATCTGTACCTACCCTGAGCAGATCCACAGATTAATTAGTTAATTAATTTAAAAAAAACTGAAGACAAATTAGAAGAAATCTCCAGCGCCCCTTGAACGGATGCGTGTCTCCCTTCATGTGAGGGGTTTGGACTGAGATCAGTCTACATTGTGAAATGGAGCTTGAATACATCATGTTTTAAGCTCAGACTAGCCTTTAGCACATTCATTCTGATAAGGTATTTACTGTTTTTACACTGAAAAACACTCAAATAATCCAAATAACCCTTTAAATGCTGTATAAGTTTTTCAGATTACTTGCCTCTGAACTACATCATCTGTAAAAATACCCAATTAGTCAGGTGTGTGGAGGACATATTGTGCAAAACTCATAATTTTGTGCATCTACTGCCTCTATAAACATTACAAACTTAAAAAAGGTTTAGGGTTTATGTGCCTGAGAGAAGCTTTTTAAAAAAATCCCCTTTAGTGACATCACAAAGGGGAAAATTACTAAAGAACCACCTCTAACATGCAAGTGAAAGCTGCCGCTGGAGGAGCACCGGCTCTGTTCTAAGCCTCACCCTGACATCGGAGCTTTTCAGCTTACAGCAGCCTGAGCGGGGGAGGGGTGGGCGTGGCCAGATCCAGCTTGTTTTCTTACAGCGGCTCATTCTGAAAATTTGAAGAACAATACTGCTTAAATTGTGTTATGTGAGAGGGATTAAGTGGAGAACTTCATAAAGACATTTGGTATCGACCATACTCTAAAACTCAAGACACCGTTTTTACAGACAGAATTCTGCTATTTCTATGGAAGCCCATTCCCGCCACTCAGATAGAAAAAAAATTATTATCTCATAATTATGAGATACTAAGTCACAATGATGAGATAGTATCTCATTATTATGAGATAGCTAAGTCATAATTATGAGATAGCTAAGTCATAATTATGAGATAATAATTTTTTTAATCTGAGTGGCGGGAATGGGCTTCCATATATTTTAATTATAGATGTTTCAAAAAGGTTTTTTATTTTCATTAAGATTTCATTTCATTTCATAGGTTTAAAAAGCAAATCAGGATTCATGATAGTGTGCTGTTGACATATGCAGTAAGAAAGTTGCAGGTTCAACACCCAGCTGGAAACCTTCTGTGCAGAGTTTGCATTTTTACAAACCAGAAACTTCACTAACGACGCTAAATTGACCCTGGGTGCGGGTGTTCATCTCCAAGTGGTTCTGTGATGCACCGACAACCCACCCAGTGACCTGAACATGGGACCCAGCTCCCCACAAACCTGAACTGGATCGAGCTCATGCATGTAAATGGATGAATGTGTCCAATCTGCTGAGGAGAAAAGAGCTGAATCCGTGTAAGGACGAGTTTAAACACAGAAAATGAGGAAATGGGATGAACATTTGGCTAAAGATTGTGTTGTTTTGTGCCTTTTTGAACCAGATAGATGTAAAAAGCTTTTTCTGCACAAGGAGACAGAAAACTGCCTGACCCTGCGGTGCCTGCTCTGATTTTGCATCTTGTTTGTGTTGCGAGCACGGCCATGTTTTTAGTGCTCGTAGCCCAAACATGGCAGCATCAGCGTGGCTGAGTGTTGAGCTATCAGCAGAACCTCTGCTGGGGTGTGATGATAATAACCGTCTCACTGTGGCAGGTGCGGTTCTGCGTGCCATGCAGGTGACGTCTCTCATGCTCACTTAGCTAATGACTCCAATTAAAATAATTAAGAGCTGGCACGGTGGATCCCGCCCATCCCCCCGCCGCAAGCCCACCCATTCCTAGTCCTCTTCAGCAGCACACCCGCTCCCCCTCACGGACGACTCCTCTGTCCTGTACGTGCTGCTGCTCCTGCGCAGGCATCTAAAAGAAACATGAAGGCTAAAATCAGCTAAACGCTCCACTTCAGAAGCACTTAAGAGACTCTCAACCCAACTTACTGTCACAGAAAGTGGGGTGGGGGGGTTGAAGGTCCGGCAGGAGGAAGAGGGGACGCAAGCCAGCTCCTAACGAGGGGAGAGATAATTGTTTTGTTTTGTTAGGGGCCCTTTTTCCGTGTGGAGGGAGCCGAAATGACATACCACACATGGTTTTTGGATGAAGTGGGTAACGGAGGAGGGGGCATGCAGATTTAATGCAGGAGGGGAGAAACTGGAGAGGAGGGGTGTGCAGAGAAAGGCTCCTGAAACATGCAGCCTCACAGAAAAACCGGATCTTCCTTTTTTATTTCATTTTTTTACACTGATAATTCACAAGCTCCCATGAAACTTTGATTACGAGCGTGCACATCGCTTTGTTGTGCTCGCAGGACATCCATAAGATATCAATGTCAGAATGCACGCTCTACAGATTCCAACAGTGGGAAAGAGCGCTCTGAGCCAACTGGGAGACACAAGTTTGGCTACCGGGCCCGGTTAGATTTATCAAAATTTATGAAAAGGCAAACATATGAATCTCTGGTGTCTTGGTGTTCTTTCAGCACTTGGAAAGCCGGACTGACAGACGATGTGCCTGGATTTGTTGCTGGCGTGGCGGCGAGGACACTTTTCCAGCATCACATCACATTTTCTGTGCGATAGAGACTTTGATGTTGATGAGTTTACCTCCCCTCGTGCTCCTGATGTATTCACCCGCTCCTCGGCTGCTCTCTTTATTTAATCAGAACCAAGGTACCAACCCTAACCGTATATCATCCATATTGTCTTTATTTTGGTAAATTTAGAGACACGCTGAAAGCAAAAAAATAAAAATAAACCTCATCACCATCACATTTACAGCTGAGAACCCTTTTTGGTGATCTGGCTACCAAACAGCACCGAGCAGATGATCCTGGTGGACGGTGTTTTCAAGCCAGACCAGTAAATCACCTCCAGGAGTCTGTCACCACTTCCACCACGATAAATGGAATCATTACTCCGTCTCCACCATGCACTACCTGATCTGG